AGCCACACGTACTTGTGGTGAACATGCAAACAAAACACATGCTCTGGTAGTACATGATGCATTGTCTTTGAAGTTGATTGGTCGTCACCAGAGACATTTTTCTTTTGAGCCTCGTTTCAAAGTGTTAGACCAGAGGACGCCAAAAGGCAAACATCACAAAGAGGATGCCACTCTCAGGGTATTTATAGCTCGGGGTGAGCAGCTTCAATATGGGACCTTTTTGGTTTGCATGTTCACCACATTACGTGTGGCTAATGCAGACAGGATTCCTTGAAAACGGATTATCTTTGGTGTTTTGACATCTTAACACAACCGTTTGATTGCCAGAAAGGGTAAAACCTATTGTCATATTTTGATACTGGCAAGAGATGCCCCATAGAGTGGCCACGCTTCTACTCCGCCGCACGTACGCCCCACCAGCGACTCACTCGTCCTGTTGGCTGGACAGAAGGTGGAGGGATTGAAGAAGTTTAACACCGCTGTTCCAACTTTCACACCGAGGAGGTCCAACCGGGTGACCTCAGCGTTGCAACAGACAGTGTCCTGATGAGTCAACAACCTACTTTCATACTCTGCCACGCTCAGCAAACGCCTCGGGAGAGGTGGGTCATAACCCACGTTCTACCCCACCGCATGCGACCCGCAGACCGGCTGGCTGGGGTGAAGCTATTTACACTGCTGGGGAGACAGAGGCACGGGAGATTTAAGAAACTTCCCCCATTGTTTCAACCGCGTCTCCTGGTGGTGGTTCGACTCCATATGGATTCACAGAGACCACACGGAGTCGAACCGTCCAACTCGGGATTGCAAGTCCGTGATGCCAGTCATTCCACCAGGACACACAACCCTCGTACACAAAGAGAAGACAAAGAAAATAATCCACACTGATGATTCAGCAGCCTACTTGTTGTACTGCTTCCTCACACTAACAGAGTTAGAATCCCACACCAATATAATTACAATCCCACATTAATATAATTGTATCACATACCGATAGACTTTGAATCCCACACCGACAGAGTTAGAATCCCACACTCGTCAATGCCAGGTGATTGCTGATGTTTCCCTACGCGTGCCTCCTAATTAATGTGCTAATTAATATGCTAATTAATATGTCTAATTAATATCCGCATCGACTGGACAAATCGATTGATTGACGCCTCCATCAGCTGAGCTCGCGTCCACGCGACGCCGCGATCATCGGGCGCCGTTACCTTCCGCGTGAACCCTGCCGCGTGAACCCTGCCGCTGGAACCTTCCGCGTGAACCCTGCCGCTGGAACCTTCCGCGTGAACCCTGCCGCTGGAATCCTTCCGCGTGAACCCTGCCGCTGGAACCTTCCGCGTGAACCCTGCCGCTGGAACCTGCCGCGTGAACCCTGCCGCTGGAACCTTCCGCGTGAACCCTGTCGCTGGAACCTTCCGCGTGAACCCTGTCGCTGGAACCTTCCGCGTGAACCCTGCTGCTGGAACCTTCCGCGTGAACCCTGCCGCGTGAACCCTGCCGCTAGAACCTTCTGCGTGAACCCTGCCGCTGGAACCTGCCGCGTGAACCCTGCCGCTGGAACCCTCTGCGTGAACCCTGCCACTGGAACCTTCTGCGTGAACCCTGCCGCTGGAACCTTCTGCGTGAACCCTGCCGCTGGAACCTTCTGCGTGAACCCTGCCGCGTGGGCGACGTGAACCCCCCCCCCCCCCCCACATCCGTTAATCGCGCAGCTTCTCTGCACGCACTCGGCTCTCGTGTGGGTGACAGGTGCATTGTGACGCGCGACCGATGACAGACCACGGGACACACAACGACTCAATGCCCGATTCACACACACGGAGGTGGAGGAGGCATCATCATCATCACGGCAGCGATGACGATTCACCACCCCGCTACTCCTGACGCAAAGCATTTGGCTCGTCGACCACCTCGATGTTAAAGCACAACCGCTGCTCTCCATCGACATCAGCTACAGGAAGAGGACAGAGATCTAGAGATTCACACTGAGACCCATAGACTAAACAGAACCGTATCGACTCATACAGAGATCTAGAGATTCACACTGAGACCCATAGACTAAACAGAACCTCATCGAATCATACAGAGATCTAGAGATTCACACTGAGACCCATAGACTAAACAGAACCCCATCGACTCATACAGAGATCTAGAGATTCACACTGAGACCCATAGACTAAACAGAACCCCATCGACTCATACAGAGATCTAGAGATTCACACTGAGACCCATAGACTAAACAGAACCCCATCGACTCATACAGAGATCTAGAGATTCACACTGAGACCCATAGACTAAACAGAACCCCATCGACTCATACAGAGATCTAGAGATTCACACTGAGACCCATAGACTAAACAGAACCCCATCGACTCATACAGAGATCTAGAGATTCACACAAACCCATAGACTCACATAGAGACACATCGACTCATACAGAGATCTACAGATTTACACTGAGACCCATAGACTCACATAGATACACATAGACTCACACAGAGATCAAGAGATTCACATACAGCACCATAGAGTAACATAGAGACCCATACAGAGATCCATAGATTCACATACAGAACCATAGACTCACATAAAGACCCATTAACTCACACAGAGATCTATATGAAGGAGGCATAATTATCAAAGCGATGCACTGCGCCTACGCGTAAAACAAATGATCCTGACTCATTGACCAGCTCAATGTAAAAGTATCACCGCTGTTCTACATCAGCGTGGGCCACACGAACAGAATAACAGCCGCGTACGGCTCCGTGCGAAGGATGCTGGGAATCACGCGCACAAAAGATCAGCTCGGCACCTCGGAAGCTGGACTTTGGTATTGTAGAGCGTGGCAGGGAATTGTTGTGGGTACCGTGTGGTGGAACGAGGTGGTCGGGATGGGGGGTGAGGCAGATGCTGTGGATGGCGCAACAGGAGGAGAAAGCCAGGGAAAGCAACGTGGAGGTTTGTGAGTTAGAATATGCCAGGATATTGTTGTAGATGGAACGGGGGGATAGAAGTATGTTGCTATGGGTGGGGACCCGCGTGAAGGGTGGTGTAATGGCATAATAACACAATGATGTAGGGAGCGGTCGTGTCGCGGTGAGTGCGACACGCTTTGAACCCGGCCGCACGAGTTCGATTCCCGCCCACTGACCCCCCACCACCTCCGATTAGCACGGTTGACTACGTACGGTGCGAAATAAGTTCAACATACATACGGCCAACAACAGTGACAGTGATCTGAACTGGCCCTGGGCCTCCCATAGGTCGACTCAGCCTCAAATGAGTACCTAGTGCGATATGTGAACATCACCACTGGGGAGACAAAGGCGGACGGGCCTGATGATGGCCACCCACCTCTCGTGTGCCATTTCGGCCTTCATAGGTACAACGCGCAACACTTTCCCCAACAGTCTGTTGAGGCTATATGGTGGAGGGGGGGGGGGTCATTTGTCTTTATCTTTGGAAGGAGTAGGGCACGTGACTTGACAACGGTGTTGAGACCGTGGGAACGCGTCGCGTCAGCGGTGTGACAGCGAGAACAGCTCAAGCTACATCGTGGCGATACCGAGACTTGGCAGAGACAGTGGGGAGGTCCGGTGCGGGCATTGGCAACGACTGCGAGTTAGGGCAGAAGGAAGGAAGCGATGGCGAGTTGCGGTGGAATCCACAACATTAACCACGATCCAATCTTGACCTTGTGTGTCTTCACCCCGAGTGCTGGACATGCTGTACGCGATCAGAATTCACCAGGGGGACGCGCTGAGATCAGATCCCTTGTTGATTCAACCCATCAGTAGCCATAATCCTATGGGTAGACTTGCCACCGTCACAATAACGTGGAATATCCACCACAGGCAAAAAGTTGCCAATGGTAATAAAAAGTGACCCACACTCTCGTACGCACGCGCATCTGATAAAAAAATGTATTTTACCAGGTAAGGCCCACCGAGCGATACAGCTCCTTATCAGAAGTGACCTGGATATAAATGATAGCCCAATAGAGTGCCTTATTATCTGGAAAGTTATAGCAGCCAAATGATCTAAGCGCAAGACGTTGATTCTAAATGTTGAGGGAAAACCCGGAGGACCCGAATAGAAATCGACGCGACCACTGGGAGAGAGACACTCCAAGCTGCAAACTCCAAACATATTCAGCAAGCGTCAGGGTCAGGATCGAACCCACGACTTCTTGTATACTAGACGAGGGAGTTAACATCTTTCCACTGCGGCTACACCCGGTCAGTCTATTGCCTCTCTTCATTATTCGTTTCAAAAAGTTGCCCAAAAAACGTAGTGACCAAACAGTTGAAGGAATAAAGAATTAAAGCTTTCATGACTGCATACATTACTCATTGTTTTTTAAAATATATTTATTTTAATATAATTTATGGTATTTCTACATACGTGACTTTACCGAAAAAAACAATGATTAGTTGAAGGAATGTTGTGCTCTCAAAATGAAACAACGAACTTGGTGATGCTGCAGAGTCACGATCAACATCATCAACTTACACATTCGTCGAGAACAACACCTGTGTGTGTGTGGCCGTAAAATAAATATATACGTAACAGGCGACGTTTCGGGCAAAGGGCCCCCTCCCCATAGCAGACGTGCTATGCTCGCACAGGCAGAGTTGTATTCTATTCTTGCGTGTGATGGGCAGCAGTAGCAGCAATCTGTTCAGGAGTTAAATGCCCAAGTGTCGAGCGAGGTCCTTCTACTGCTGGCCACGACGAGAGGGCTTCAGCAGAGAGAGAGCTCGCCTCGTTGCGATATTCCTCCTCCGTCGTTGCAGCTGTCGACTCACCCTCAAATAATTCCCTTGTGCGATATGTTCAACGTCGCTACCAGGGAGACAAAGGCGGCCCGGTGTGGTGCTGCCCACCCACTCCCCTCGTGTGCACTTGCTCCAACAGTCTGTTCCAGGCTACACGGTAGGGGATCTTTGTCTTTGTAAAAGCGAGTGTGTGGAGTGTGTGTCGCGTCTCACCCACGCACTGCAGGATGAGAGGGATCCACATCAGCCACAAGCAGGTGCTGGGACCCATGGCGAGACGGCGAGAGACGGGGGGCAGACGAGGTGAGTCGGGAAGCTGGAGGGAGACGGGGAGAGACGGGGGGCAGACGAGGTAAGTCGGAAGCTGGAGGGAGACGGGGAGACGCGGAAAGGGACGAGACCGAGAATGATCGTTGGTGAGACGGGCTGGGGGAGACGGGGAGACCCGGGGAGACGCGGGAGGCAGGGGGAGAGACGAGCGACGGGACCCCAGGGTGAAGCGGGGTGCGACGTGAGCTAAAGTGAAACGAGATGGCACACGGCTGTGCAGGGGAGACGCTGGGAGGAGTCGCGCAACTTAGAGTGAGACGGAGCGAGACGGGGTGAAGAAACGAGAGAGGGGGTGGGGGGGAATGAGATGGGGAAGAGACGGGACCAGGGGAAGGAACGGGATGACGCGGGGAGATGGGTGGCACGGGACGGGAGATGGGTGACCAGGTTGAGAGCGCTCTTCTCGGACGCTTCTTAAGACACGGGGATTCCTTTCGTCGTTACCGCCTCGGGCTCCAAGGAGAACTCCACCACCAATAGCGGCACCAGCAGCCGGACTCGATCGCTCCGGTACCACCGCCGCCTCCTCCTCTCCCTGCGCCACCTGCGCAGATCCCACCCCCACGCAACTCAGAGCGCGCAGCGCGCACGTGCGTATGGCGCGTGTGAATGTAGCACGTGCGAATGCAGCACGTGCGTATACGTGTGTGTGTAGCACGTGTGTATAGCGCGTGTGTGTGAAGCACGGTGTGTATACAGCGCGTGTGTGCAGTGCGTGCGTGTGCAGTGCGTGCGTGTGCAGCGCGTGCGTGTGCAGCACGTGCGTGTGCAGCACGTGTGTGTGCAGCACGTACGGGTGGCGTGTGTGTAGCGACGCGCGGATGCGATGCGTGTCCGATGTGTGAGAGTGCGAGTGTGTTTTGTAAGCTTGTAAGGAGCGATGGGCGCACTGCGCTACAAAACCCAGCGACCGATTTCAGCTCATGACAAATAGCAGTCACGAATGTCTTGAACCGGTGCTGGGCCTCTCCTGTAGGTCGGCTCAGCTTTAAATGTGTACGTGGTGCAGTGTGTAAACACTGGAGAGACAAAGGCGGTCGGGCGTGGTGCTGGCCACCCACCCCTCGTGTGCCGTGGCGGCGTTCATCGGTGCTCGCCAACAGCACTTGCCCCAACAGTCTGTTACATGCTGAATGGGGGAGATCTTTGTGTTTGAGCATGTGTGGTGTTTAAGTGCACGTCTTGTGTATCGGTGTGTTGTGTATGACGAGGAGTGTATTGTGTAAGCATGCGACGTGCGTTATGTACTTGCTGTGACATTGGGCGTTCATGACACTTGCCCCAACGGTCTGTTAAGGCTATACGGGGGATCTTTGTCTTTATAGTGGTACTAGTAACCATACGTGGTTTGACAAAGATCGTTAGGTTCAACGTATATGTACATCGAGTCCTGCGTGTTAGGTTAAAATGTTTTCGATTCATACGCTGCTGTATAATGGATGTGATTATTGTCCACTAAATTTATCGCCATAAATGCAATTCTACGATACATCGTACAATATTACTTCCACAATCATTGTATCGTCTGTTTTCAACATATCGTTATATCGTGATTCCCGTTGCTCATTGTGTTTCTTAAGCATTGCATTTATTAAAGTGTTTTACTTGCTCTACTGACAATCATAATAACGAACAAGAAACTCACTTGTCAAAAGCACAACGCAATTATATATTGTGCTATGAAGAAGGGCCATTGCCCGAAACGTCGCCTATAATATATTTTTTTAAAGGCCGCAATATTGTTGAAGATGTTGAGTTGTAATTTGTGCTTGTGCACCACTGCCAGCGCAGCAGCAGCAGCAACGGCATCACCAAATAATTCATCGCAATAATACAAGTTGTGCAGACACACACGTTACCCATGAAATCGGCGCTTCGCATAAGTGTAAGTGATGACACGGCGAGTCTACAACGTTATAGCATTCGTGGTTCAACGACCCGTGCAATGACCATCGTCTGTAACTGGCAGCACGTGCGAGGTTATTGCCACATTCTACCGGCAACGTCGCAATGATTGGGGCGACGTGTGGCAGGTTGGTGTTGAAGCAACTGCAGTCAAACCACTGACGAGCCACGTTCCTGCGCCCCCTTAACGAGAGGTACTCCAAAGCACAGCAACAGCGCAATACCACGCGACATACACCGACAAGGGGAACTGATAGCGCGGTGATTGACATATTGCAATATGCAATATCGTATCGTATTGTGAAAAACTATATATCGTGCGCTACCCCACGGAAAATTAATCTTATCGTGAAGTCGCTGGTTCAGGGTGCCGAATGAGGCCCCTGTGTTTATGGCTGTTGTCTGTGTTCATGGCTGCTACGTGGCAGCTAAGACTTTGTTTTGCAAGACTCCTTGTTCACTGTTCAGTCAAACGTGGGGAGCGGTAGTGCAGCGGTCAGCGCGCTGCCCTACGAACCCGCGATTCCCGCTCACGGCCCAACACCAGTGACAATTATCTGAACCGGTCTTGGGCCTCCCCTAGGTCAACTCAGCGTCAAATGAGTAACTGGTGCGGTGTGTAATCATCGCCACTGGAGAGACAAAGGCGGCCGGGCGTGATGCTGGCCACCCATGCCCTCGTGCGCCGTGCCGGCCTTCATAGGTGCTACTCGCTAACAGCCCCTTCCCCCAACTCTCTGCTCGGGCTTCGTGTGTCACCCTATTTGTTTCTGGGTCGCCAGTGGACTGGCATAGAAAGTAAATTAAGTAGCCACAGAGAGAGGCATGCTGGATGTGATGTGCCAGGTGCCGCACACCATTCACTGTGCGAAGCAGGAGCGGATTAGGTTTGTCTGGGCCGTAACTCTAAAATCATTCCTAAGCACTCAATGAAGGAGGACCCCTCTGTTTGCCAGAGACGAGCTGTGCTAAGTGACAGCCGAGACTTACTTTGCAAGGCGTGTTCAGTGGAAATGCAGTTGAACAAATTTTATCCATTATATTCGTACGACTGGTGCAGCAAAGTGCAAAAAAAGACAACGCTCTGAAATACGGAATCAGAATCCTTATTAAAATCTGTAGACTGGAGGAATCCGAGGCGCTCTATTAAGCTTTTTCACAGATGTCCAGAGAGCAAATTTATGGGGAACTGATATCGTGATAATCTTTGTATTGTGAAATAAGATTACCATATTATAGCGTGAAAATTGCCAGACCGGGATTGGGCACCGTGTTGAAGTGTCCCCTGGCCCCGTGCGCTACCGCCCTCTGCTGGCGAACATGGAGAGAGGGTGCGAGTCTCATGGTCAATACCGGACGGGGCACGTGGGGAGACAATCACAAAAAATGCATTCGTCGAATACACGGCAGAAAAAGGGCCATTGCCTGAAACGCCCCCCCCCCCATCACGCGTGTCTGTTATTTGTGCTTGTGCACCACTGCCAACGCAGAAGTATCTATATACATCAAGACCTTAATCTGCATTTCTCAAACACCTCTGTGGTACTTTCCGACAAGGCAGCAAGACGAAATTCAGTCCATGAGGTAGCGAAGACGGCCTTTACGAACTCGTCACAAAATGAATGTGTATTCATGCTGTGAATGAGAAATCTCAGGCCGTGGCAACAACGCCCACTGCTGTTCGCCCACGGCATCGCACGCGGAGAACTGAGATGGTACGAACGCGGGTGGAGACATAACGAAGCATCCCTTCCCCGTTATTGCCATCCTTCGTTTTCTTTGGTTCTTTCGGTGTTGTGGCCGAAACGTCGTGAGAATATTATTGTTATTTTATTTTATCAATTTATTATTTTATTCTCATTCTACGTGACTTTACCGAAAGAACCAAATAAGATGGATCCTTGCAGTCACGAAAGCTTTAAATCGAAATCCTTCGTTTTGTTGACGTTTTGTTGCCCGTGGTGGCTCAGCAGCTGCTTGTACATGCGTTCGTGGGTTCGTGTACCAGTCTGTGTTAACATTTGAGTGTTATTCCCTCCTCCGCATGCTGGGTTTTCTCCGGGAATAATGATTTCCTCCCAACCGCAAAAAAACACTCTTTGAAATGTTTTGTTCAAACATGCAACTGCAGCACTCGGATGGAAAGTTGAGATTCAGCGAGGCTTTCCGGGGTAAAGGCCCGCAGTTATTATTCCACACTGATAACTGTATAATGAATCGCAACACACTGCGACCTCTGCTGATAATCGGTGGCAAGTCCGCTTTTCCGATTCACCAAAAACTTTCAAATGCACCCAAACAACTAGACAATGAAACATCAACTTAATACATTTACCTGTCAACACCAATAACACACTGGAATAACGACTGGCTAAAAAAATACGATTTCACATCACAATATTCAATACTGGTCAGCGACCAAGTGAATGTCGAGATCGAGACAGCGATAAGCTAAGAATAAGTTTTAGAATCTCAGTACTCGTCCATGATTTGTTATGTGTACAGCCCTCCTGTCAATCCACTGCTGGTAATTATTTGCTCACTTCATCACGCTGGCCAATGCGGGTTGAAGCCAAGGGATCACGCACGTGGTGGCATACGACTATCGTGCACTGCCCTCTGGTGCCCACAATGTGGCCCAGTACGCTTCATTGCAAGGACAGCGGGCCACTGCCGGCCCCCGACAATACACAAATAGTGAAAACACCTCACCATCAACGTGCTGTTAACCCCTAACGGTTTCGGTTCCAAATGTGTGGAGGCCCTCACACCGATGTCTTATTAGCGAAAATCAGTGAAGAGTACCTGGTGACAAACGAGAACCGTCCACTTGCAACTGGTGCCCACAATGTAGCCCCATCGCAAAACTGAAGACATTTGGGAGAAAAAAAATGAATGCATGACAATCTATTTTACGTTACTGCAACTTTATTCAATAATTTCGCTGTTTTAAGCGAGAAGCACTGCGAACACTTTTCATCTAAAAAAAAACGATTTTGATCTACTAGTCTATTATAATATACTGTACATAAGGTGGGAATTAGGGGTGGAGTAGGGGGGTGGGGTGTAAGGGGAGAGAGGAATAAGATATAGGTCAGCCAACGTTCGTCCACCAACTGTTGAGATTAGCAAAATAGCGTGGGCATGAGCGATTGCTTTGTCTCTATATTATTGTGCTTGCTTGACACACGTCGGTTCTCGGGTTAAGCGACAACAGTGGCTAACAAAACATTATACAAGCTTCATTGAATGTCCTGCTGTCATGCCCCGTCTTGATATGACTCCATACACGCACGAGTCAGCTTGCATAAAACACCTTCAGTTCCGTGTTTTCTTCTTTCTTAATTTATCCACTGCTACACGTAACGAGCAATCTCAACAAAGATAGATCCTGACAGCTGTTTTGCAGGTTGGCCGCACAGTAAAACCAACTTTATCCGTATCGGGTTACCAGTCCTTTTTCTTGGCATTAATTCCACCCCGCAAATACCCACCCATCCATCAAGAGTTGTAGGACAATAGGATTATGGGCTTAAGTAAATGTTAACTTTTTCGAACCAACTGTATTATAGTATTTTTGTTATCACTGCACCCACATATGATTGAAAAATCGTCTGCACATCAGACTCCTCTGCACTTTGCGAAAGTTGGCGCTGTAGGAGCCATATATGAAGGATACGCCGACTGGAAATAATGGGATCGATGCCGGCACCGACAGGCATGAAGACAATAAGTAGTGTTTTAATAAGGTGTTTTATGCAACTGGCCATAGACTACTTGGAACTAGACTGTCCCATCTCTTACAAGTCGATTCACATGGCGAAAGTTCTTCCACCACTTGTAACCAATTTACCACCTCACACCCGGCCAAACATAGCTCTTAGGTTCTGTAAGCATGCACGGACATTCTTGGTCCTGCCACATTGCGAGTTCACCCTTACACAACTTAAAATTTTCCTTACCAACCTTACATTTGTACCATGCTCTATGCTTGACATTTAGAAAGTGAAAATCCCCGTTATACCAAGAGGCATGATATATTGCTGGGAAAGAAGTTTGGCATTTTTTGTTCAAACATCCTAGCCATTATTTAAAAACCAAATTTGGTGGGAACTGCTTTTTTTACCAATGCATAAATCATGCTTTACATTTTCCTTGCTCAAGAGACTTTTGTAAATGGGTTCTCACGTGAACAAAGTAAATTAATGACAAATGTAACAGTATCATTTTACCTGCTATGTAAATCCATGGCTCAACATTGTGCCATATCCAATTCAGCCAAAACATTTAGACACAATGCATGAAGTCAGGCACTTGTCCAACTGTGAGAGCGAGCGGCGTATGAGGTCTTGAGGACTGAAGCCTGCAAGATCCCTGACACAATCTGCTCCTCACAGGCCGCTGCTTAAATGCAATGCGACAACTGCCAACGTCCGCACGCACTCACAAACGTATCAAGTCCTGCACTACATCGATCCGCCTTGGGTATTCCCAGCACACGGGGCACGTGGGTCACAAGGATTTTACTGCTCTCTTCACACAACAGTTCTTGACTCGGGAGTGGCGTAAAAAGTACAATGTCATGAACAGCACGCAAGGCGACGTCTTGCTTAAGGTGTGACCACTACAACTATGAAGGGTTTCATATTCTTGGTTCTTTCGGTAAAAAAACACTTTACCGAAAGAACCAAGAATATGAATCCCTGCAGTGACGAAATCTTTAAATCAAAATTTATGAACGGTTTGTTTTGTTACGTATGTGCATCCGTGGGAGTACTGTTAAAATAATTCAAGAGTTCCCAAACCAGTATTTTGGGTGTTCTCTGAAAAAGCCACAGACCCTCCATCAGTGAGCAGTGTTGTTTGCGGAAGAGTAGTCAGCACAGATGTTAAGCAACGCGTGCACTATGACATGCACTATGACATGCCGTTTACAGCGGACTACAGATGGCTGTTCTACTTGGCCACCTGGCCTTCCATGAGCCTGAGAGGTCGGTGAAAACTTGTTACAGAACGCTTGGTGCCATTTACACCTCAATCATCATCATCTTCGTCTCCAAGCCTGGGAGGGTGCAAAGTGTTGTTTACAGATTATATTTTTTTAGTTTTGGCACGAGAGAATATTATTATCAAGTTCTTGTAAAATGTGTAAATGTCAAAAAGAGTTAAGTCAAAGACAAGCTCGGATAATTGAGAGAAAAGAAAACAAAGACAAAAATGTCGTAAAAAACATCAAAATATTAAAAGATTGAGACACGTTCAAATACCGATATCATGAAATTACACGTACTAAAATATGCTTAATCTTAGAATATCCACTATTGTCATAAAAAAAGATAAAACGAAATTACTTTATAAATTAAATGTTCTTTCAATGCTGGTCCAGCCAATCTTCTTGCTGTGGAGCTCAATTGTTATTGTTTTAGTTTGTTTCAGACTTTTTAAACAAACCGATAAACAACATGAACTAAGCATTAAAATTGAAAACAAAAAACAGCTCAATTCTACTATGCACCAAAATATTTGTACACGTGTGTAACATCCGAGGCGGTTGAAAGTTTTATAAGTGTAAACCATTGCCCTACTCAGTCTTCATCGCACAACACAGTTCACTGCCTTCTAACAGCGTTACTTACGAGGTCAATGATAGCAACTTCTCTTCAACATGCTGGGTATTACATCAAGTATCTGTTTGAATATAGAAAATGTATATTACTTTGTTTTAGAGGGAAGCATGTGAATATAATTACAGTATTCTGAAATCAAACAAGATAATATTTCCACTGTCCTTCTGAATCTCAGTTGAGTGTAATGGTAGGGGGAAATGGTAGGGGGAAAGGGTTGGGGGGTTGTCAGTAAATGAATTTGCCAGTAGGGGACACAAAATAATTGTTAACCAGCCAGGTGGTGCCGTGCCAATGCCCGGCTCGCATCTGAAAATCTGAAAATTCAACAACAAATCGGGGGGTCAAGTTAGCCCATCATGCGCCTGGGGGTCAATAAAATTAATACCACTTTGAGAAGTGCAAGCAATGCAAGGTTTTCACCATCAATACAGTTTGCCTCAATGCTCATTTAAATATGGAGACACTTTGACATCGCTAGACAAGGAGCAGTAATTTCATGGTAAACAGATTGGTCTCCATTGTAATAAAATATTTCAAAACCTGCAGGACCACGCTCAGGTTTGGAAAGTAAACATCACCATGCCCACGACAGTAGTAGGCTCCTGTGCAGAGGCACTCGTTTTGAATTTCAAGGAAAAAATACACCTCATGGGGCACATTTAGATTTTTTTTCTTTGGAGATGTTTCGTCTTTGACAATTGTTATGAAACTTGCAGCTATACTGGGCTGATTTTCTCACGAATCGGTGTTGAGGCCTGGCTTCAAGTAATCACTGGTCTACACTGAACGCGGGCGTGGTTACACTCATGGAGGAGTGACATCAAACGCCCACGTGCGGTGGCGGCGTCGTTTTTTTTCTGTAGGGCTGCTTGAACGTGATTCTGAGCAACCAATAATGACTTGATATTGGCAAAACGGCACCTGTGGCATTGGGTGTGGGAGGGTTGAATCACCATTTAGCTTAACCTGTCGCTTTCTCACTGTGCGTGCGTAAACTGTGGAATGCACATATAAACGCTGTTATAGTATTTTGATTGGTAAACAAGAAAAACCTGCAACTGACTTCTGGTCATATTTAGAGTCAATATACCATTAGTCATCTTTAATAAAAACAAAAGCTCAACCTGACAAGCTGCTTAAGTACATAAATGTCTATCTGTGACAAAATCACCCACCAATGCTCGCAACATTTGACTTGTTGGTAACTGCACCGTGCGGGCTGAAAGGCTTTCTTTCTACGTGACCACCGACAACATACATGTTCAGATCACCTGGAGACACATCAGCTGACTTGGATCCTCAGGTATGCTTCATTTCCTACACGGCGAACCAGAGCAGTTTATTTTAGTCTTGCTTGCAATAAAGCCTTTGCAGTCATATAGTTCAAATGATTATATTCAAAACATCCATGAAAATATCCCTTCAGATGCAATTATTTTGCCGTTATAAATTTGTGATCCTCTCAAACCAAATGGGCATAAAAGTGGCCAGGAGATGGTCGAGTATTATTAAAGAGTATTGTCCTTGGAGAATTATCCCCTCATGCGTGGGGGTTTCTTTGGGTATTCCAGTGTCCCCTTACAGCCACAATACGGTCATTAAAATTATAGGATAAATATTCCAATTCAGGACCCAAATGAAGAAGAGTACAGACTTGGTGAGCCTTTCCAGAATAATTGATCTTTCACAGAACAGCGAATGTCCCTTTTTATTGGCCTAGTTCAGTGCTATATTCGCAGCCAATTCTGTTTGGGCTCATGCGTATAAACACACTCTGCAATTACAGCTCGCGTGTATCGTAATGTTCTGAAGCCTCCAGAATGCAAATACGGTATATGCTGTTGTCGATGACTCCCCACCGCCCCCAAAAGGGAGCTGTCATTTCCAGTTAGGAAGCAAGAATGTCAGGTCACTTGTAAATTATGTTGATTAAAGAGAACGAGCATTTGACCGTTAAAGCCTTAGGTAAACATGCCGCAGGAAAAACCGTGAGTGCAATTAAAAGCCCCAGGAGGCTTACGATGTGACCTACTTAGTGGACCTACTGTGTAACTTGTTGTAAAAAACATTGCCAGGCAGAGAAACAGCTGTGATATGGGCATGGCTGAACAATAACAGTGAGGCTGGATTGGCAGTGGCGAGGCTGGATTTGGGAGTTAGTGACCTTTGTTGCGAAGGAAGAAAACCTCATGAAAGCGCTTCAGAAAATAGCAAAGATGTTACACTCTTCTGCTCGAATGGCCACTGGGAAAGCCAGTCGCTTGCAGCGATGTCTGAAAAGATATTCTTATTATTGACCGCTGCTCCATAATCACATCGTAAGCCTAGGGGCTTTGGTTGAAAAGCAAATATAAAGGAACCGGAAAATAACCCCACGTATACAAACAAGACGTTGTGAAACTTGCACACACCGTGTAGGTTTCGTTTGTGCACTAATTAACTAAAAATGCACTCAACGGCAACTTCCAAGAATTGTAACATTGGTGTAAGGCTTATATTTGCCACGGGACTGGTTTGTGCTCAGCACCTGGGGAGGCTCGCTCAGAGAGAACGAGTGCAATGAATTAACAGTCACATTAATGCTGCACGAGCAATGTTCATTGCAGCATCTCCACCACGGTAAAAGTACAGAATAAGGTGGCAGCGCTCCATCTGGAGTTTGGGAGAGGGTGTTTTGACCAAGCGGTGGTTGAAATTTAATCCGGAATTTAATCGAAGCCTGCACATTATCACCACCGCCGTGCGCACACTGTGCGACTTTCACGCATGTTTACGGTAGGTGAACATGCATAGCGTGCACTGTGCTCCAAATATCTCCAAAATGGGAGACAAATCCTTCAAAGCATCAGCCACCCCTCAGCTCCGGGCTCCTCCCATTCTCCTCAATCCAGGCTGGAGTGTGATTGAACAAACGTCACCTGAACGTTACACTTTTTGAACAGCAGGAAGCCTCAGTGAATCCGCAGACCCAGCCTCTCTGGTCTTTCCCAAATAAGCTGCTATTAAGAGGCCTGGAATTGCCGACAAAAAGCCCCCTCACAAAAAACGTGTACTTGAATGGGAAATGAAAATCATTACACTCGCTTGAAATCTTCCCTTCGACTCGCAACGCTTTCTTGGTGCTGCTGGTGCAACACTCTGTGCTGCACAGTACCGTGCCTCACCTTTTCCCACTTCTGCCAGGTACCATACAATTTAAGGCAGTGTGAAATGGCAAAGCAATACCAGCAGCAAGTGCCAGGGGCTTTCGAGCTGTGACCGTTGACCACATTCTAAACGTGCAACGCGCTCTGCACTTGTGAACGAGCATATTTATGTTGTCTTCCAAAACGCCCAGCGCAAAAGTAGAGAAAGGAACCATTATAATTGATGCAACTACTTAAAGTTAGTCGATATTACAGTATTAATTATACAAACGTCCTCTATGCTATGAACAAAAACATGCGAGCATTACTCAGCGTGAAAAAAATCCAAAACAAATGAACAAGCAAAAAAACCGACGTAAATATGAAGCAACGTTGTTTTACCCCACCCGTACACACATGCGCGCACGTGTAAGTGCTTATAATGAATCTTTTGGTGCTCAGCACAGTCAGTAGAGGCATCGACAAACACACTGGGATGTGTCGACCGTCTGCTCCAAGAAAATCACAAAACACGAGGACAGGCGCCGCGTCGAATGGTTGCAACAAGTTGCTTGCTCTAGTTTCTGACGGCTATTTGTTGCCATCACCATCAACGTATATATTTTTTTCCTTAATCCGAAGCCGGTCGGACGGTGGTGGGAAATAAATCAGCTAAAGAACGGAACGGAATGGGATCGGGGTCGGGGGGGTGGGGGGGCGGTGATCCAAGCTCAAAACCTCGGAGCTGAGCGGTCATTGGTTGAGGTTTTGCGCAGACGCACGCCTCGGCGGATTGCCGTCAGCATGTCCTGTGCCTGCACCGGGTAGTGCGGCGTGGTCTGCTTGCGTGCGTCCTCGTGCGCGCCGACAGTGACCGTGACGGCGCCGCTGCCCGCTGTTGACGTCGTTGCCGAGATGGCCCCGGCACCGGTGGCATTGGCGTTGGTGTTGGCGAACGGGGAGAAGGGTGAGTGCGACTGGGCGTGCGCGTGCGCCGCCACCACCACGGCGCCCAGCCGCTCCGTCATGCTGCGCCGCGTCGCCGCGATATGCAGTCGCTCCTCGGGAGACACCAGCTCAGGGGGTGCCATGCGGTGGGGCGACGACTCGTCAGCCAGAACCAGGACACCCGGACTGCTCACGTCCACCCTGCCCACGCCATGGGAAGGATAGACGAAGGCGGAGGGGACAGGAGTGGGCCAAGGGGAATTGAGGGACAAAGGAAACATTGAGATTGTCACGACGTTACGCGGGCCGTAAAGTTGGATTGAATTAGGGTGATGCAGTTTGCGTGAGGTGCCGAGTTATTACACGGATGTATCTGAGTGTAGTTAAGGCAGCTGTGTATAACGGACTTCGGGCAGTGAAATATTACGGTGGTAATGTATTGGGACATTGAAGTGCTTCTGTTATCAAGTTATGTTAGTGAAGTGTCTGTGTTGTTACACGACAGAATCTATGTTAAGCCAAGATGCCATCGTAAAATTGAAAAACATCATGACTGTCAATCACAATTGGTTTTGGAGCTCACAGAGCACTGTGAAGGGCATATTAATTTGCAAGCATACCCATGCATGGGAATGAATGACAGGGTTCAGGGGCTCCTGATCCACTGCAGCAACTATTATTTCACAGCATCGGTATTTTGCACCGCGGTACCACACGTTCGTCATCCTCAAAGGGCCTCGTACCTTAGAGCCGTGCGTCGCACGGGCACGCTGGGCGGGCGGATGGGCCGCGGGCCGCCCGTGGGCCTCGGCGCCGTTTTTGCGGACGGCACGCGGCGGATCGTGGCCACGCCGTGCGGCGAGGGCGGCGACGACGGCGAGGGCCCCATGCCGCTGGCGCACGGCAGCCCGGCCGTCGAAACGGGCCTCTTCACCTGCAACATTCGGCGGTACGACTGCGCCAGCTCGCTTCCGCGTGGAACCGTGCAACACTTGTCCGCATCCGTTTGCTGCTGCTGCTGCTGCTGGTGGTGGTGCAGGTGCTGTGGCGGCGGGGGCAGAAGATGCTGCTGGCCGCAAGCGTCGGCCTCGTCTGCATCGCCGTTCACCGAGAAATAGTCTTGGTCTGAAGCTGCAACACCGGCAGTGTTAACGCCAGCTAGCTGGCCACGGGGCCGCTACAAGTTTAGGGCCTCGGAACACTGGGCTGCGTTTGATTCAGGGGGGCATTCATCACCTTCTTGCACGGTGTTGCTAAGATTGTATAGTCACTAAAGCCATGTTTTTCTGTTTTTATAGCAGGAAAATCACTTTTAGGTGCAAAGCAGCCCAATGTTCTGAGGCCTTCACAGATGTGTATAATTCTGGTGGTTGGTGGACATCGAACCAAGCACTATCCAGAATCCAGCCTGCTTAGCTTCCATATTGGGTGCATTCTCATTGATGTGGTCATGGGTTAGGCATGTATCAAGATGAGAGATATTGATGGGTTGCATCTCCACTGCTGAAGCGTACAACCCGTATACCTGTACGAGTCTTCTATTTAATGACTATGAGTGTATGAAATCATCAAGTTTGATAATGACGATGATTGCCTACCAAAGAATGGCAATGGCATAACAAAGTCAATGAGCCTGAAAGAAGACACAGACTGATATAATTTAGTCACGATATCAGAGACTGCAGTGCAGATCAAAATGGTAACTGTCTATGTATCTTACCTATAAACGTATTTTTTTGTCTGTCTCTCTGTCTGTCTCTCTGTCTGTCTCTCTGTCTGTCTCTCTGTCTGTCTCTCTGTCTGTCTCTCTGTCTGTCTCTCTGTCTGCACATGCCTTGCAATATTTTTCACTGACAAACTGTTGGGTTAACGTTACAACAAAGTGCACATACAACACGCTAAGCCCCCAGACGAAAAAGCGTTACTTGTTTTTCCCCTCGGTCAAATGCAAAATAATTAAAGCAAACTTTATAACAATGTATTATTATGCTGATCGACGTGAGGGAGCTTCTCCTTCGTGTTAATAAGGCGAAAACAAACACAGAAGCACAACACTGAGGTAAATCCTGAACAGGGTGATGCCCTCTTCTCTCCCCCCACCCCAATGTGTGCAGTTACGACAATAGAATTAGTAGATACTCTTGTAGCGTCAGTAAATACTAATATAGAGTCGGTAGATGCTACTGTAGAGTTAGTAGTTACTATGAAAGAGTCGGTAGATACTACTGTAGAGTCGGTAGATACTACTATAGTCGGTAGATACTACTGTAGCGTCGGTATATACTATTATAGCGTTAGTAGATACCACTGTAGAGTCAGTAGTTACTACTATAGAGTCGGAAGATACTACTAGAGTCAGTAGATACTTCTATAGTCGGTAGATACTACTATAGTCGGAAGATACTACTAGAGTCAGTAGATACTACTGTAGAGTCGGTAGATACTACTATAGAGTCGGAAGATACTACTAGAGTCAGTAGATACTACTATAGTCGGTAGATACTACTATAGAGTCGGAAGATACTACTAGAGCCAGCAGATACTACTAGAGTCAGTAGATACTACTATAGAGTCGGAAGATACTACTAGAGTCAGTAGATACGACTATAGTCGGAAGATACTACTATAGTCGGAAGATACTACTAGAGTCAGTAGATACTACTATAGTCGGTAGATACTACTATAGAGTCGGAAGATACTACTAGAGCCAGCAGATACTACTAGAGTCAGTAGATACTACTATAGAGTCGGAAGATACTACTAGAGTCAGTAGATACGACTATAGTCAGAAGATACTACTATAGTCGGAAGATACTACTAGAGTCAGTAGATACTACTATAGTCGGTAGATACTACTATAGAGTCGGAAGATACTACTAGAGCCAGCAGATACTACTAGAGTCAGTAGATACTACTATAGAGTCGGAAAATACTACTAGAGTCAGTAGATACGACTATAGAGTCGGAAGATACTACTATAGTCGGAAGATACTACTAGAGTCAGTAGATACGACTATAGAGTCGGAAGATACTAGAGTCAGAAGATACTACTAGAGTCAGTAGATACTACTATAGAGTCTGAAGACACTACTAGAGTCAGTAGATACTACTATAGTCGTAAGATACCACTAGAGTCGGAAGATACTACTATAGTCGGAAGATACCACTAGAGTCAGAAGATACTACTAGAGTCAGTAGATTCTACTAGAGTCAGAAGATACTACTAGAGTCAGTAGATACTACTATAGAGTCTGAAGACACTACTAGAGTCAGTAGATACTACTATAGTCGGAAGATACCACTAGAGTCGGAAGATACTACTAGAGTCAGTAGATTCTACTAGAGTCAGATACAACTGGAGAGCACCACGCCTGGCCACCTTATCTTCCCAGTGGCGAAGTTGACAACACACCGGACCAGGTACTCATTTTTGGCCGAGTTGACCTCGGTGAGGACCGGGACCGGTTCAGATATTCGTCATTGGTGTTGGCCATGAGTGGGAATTGAACTCGGGTAGCCGAGTTCGTAGCGCAGCGCTAACCGGTAAACTACCACTCCCCATAACATACATACATATACTCTTTGGGTCTTTCGTTAAAGTCACGTAGGTAGAAAAATAATAGATCACGACGTTTCGGACGCAACACAAGCATACGTCATCAGGCGAAAAATGGTGAGAAAGCTGCTAACAGGTCCCTGCAGGGTGGGCTGGTAGGACAAGTCTCTGCGCTGTCTATTGCTGATTTAACACCCAACAGCACGAGATTTCACTTCGTTAAAGTATTGAAAGGGGACGGACAGACGGACGGACACATTCATCTATTGCAGGCTGGTACACTCAGTTTACAACTTCGTTCCTACCAGTACAAGCAAGGGGTTATATAAGTAAATGTAAGGCGAGCAAACAGAAGGCTAGCCCAGCGTCAGCTATTCCAGGGGGGGAGGGAGGGGCTGCCATAACGAGCGAGCGGGTGGGGACGCAATTTACAGAGGGATCGGCGGCAGGAGGAGAGAGGGGGTGGGGCAGAGCAAGACAGGGGGCTGCACGTGAGGTAATGGGGAGATAGAGGGGGGTGGGGCAGAGATAGGAAAGGGAGCTGCGCGAGCGCTAGGGGGTGAGAGAGGGGGTGGGGTATAGATAAACGGTGGCAGGGGGAAAGAAAAGCTGAGTTAGTGAATGTGACTCAGAGAGCCGAGAGAAGCTGCAACATAGGCAGGCACGAAGGGGACATCATAGCCAGTTACGACCTAAACTGGTTAATAACGTCCTTCCAATGATTGCTCAGTTTGCACCCATCTTCTCGGTTGAAATTGTGTCTGTGTTTATATATCTGGATGGCTTCATGGACAAATCTTTGATGATAGCCCGGAAGGTTTGCAGAGTACCTTGGTCTCAGAAAAAACATTATCATGTGAGCCCACCGCGTTAAAACAGTGATCAGCCACGGCAGAGAGTATGGATTCCTGCAGTCACGAAAGCTTCAAATCAAGATACATACATATACACACATAGATCACAGGCTGCAGGACTTGGGAGTGCCAGGCGATCGTCACCTTGAGAGGAGATGGTGTCTTCGGAGCAGGTGGGCGTCGTGGTCTGCGTGCTGTAGCCGCTGGAGCACTGCAGCGAGTCGCGGCTGCTCTTCTGGCTCTCCAGCTGCAGCCCCTGCACCAGCGCCTTGCTCAGCTCACCTGGCACCAGCACGTCCACCTGCCATCGCCGCCACGCCACGGGGAATGCGTCACCACCTCGTTAGCAACGCGGGCATGGCCTGTGCCTGGCTGCTGCTTGAGATATTGAGCTGTAATTCGCGTAAAAGATAAACTTTATTTTTTTGCGTGCGTTTTGTAAAAAACTGTAGTTTAAATGGTATTACCACGAATTACAAAAATTACTAGAAGGGAATTTGTCCCCATGTAGGGTCCTATTTCTCTACTGAGCTTTGTACGCTGTATCCTTGTGCTTTTATTTCCACAGATGTCCCTCTTCAAACACCTGCAGCTTTATTCGCGCATTTGCGGAAACATTATTTAGATTATTTTGCTGCTATAAACTTCTACAATGAGCCACTTTGCTGAGCTATCATTTGTGGCCAGATCACTTCTGAAGAATAAGTTAATACCTCACTGGGCTTTGTCTGGTAGGATGGGAATGGTTTAGTTTCATTTGTTTGTGTTTGTGTGATTTGTTTACCTTGCCTATACTTTGCACTCCTATCGTGTTTTGTATTGTTTGATTGTCGTAACGTTCATACCCAGTGCCCCTACTGGACATCTGTAAAAAGAGAGCTTTATAGCTAATCTAATTCCTCCAGGAAAAATAAATATTCCGATTCTGATTCAATGGCCCCACACTCCAAAAGTAAATGTTATTAAGCCATTTCACCACCACGCACGTTTCCAAAAAAAACGCACATTTTCTGCCACGAGACAATTCAGACCGCTAAGTGTGTATGCCTTGCTGAGAGAACACCTTTCCGCCGTGTAGGAAGGCGACGCTCTGTGGCCGCGGTGTGTCGGGGCCCTGCCGTCCGGGCTGCGGCACTGTGGGTGGCCCCGTCATCACCGCACAGCGCGAATCCGTCTCGGTCTCCGCAATCGTTCGTGGCAGCGTGGCAGAGGACGACGGCTGCTCGTAGGGGCTCGGCTGTTTGCTCCACTCCTGGGGCGACGACGGCGAAACAAACCCACGAGCGAGATGAGAACAAAGCAACCATCAAAATAATAAAGGTGTGGTTACGCCACATCGCTCAGAACGCGCCACATGGAGGAGACAAATGTGAAGGGAAGATGGTAGGGATGTAATGATTCACCCCCCTACCAGGATTAGACAAATTATTTTGATTCGAGGTCGCGAATCAAATCACAAACTTATTATTTAATGGTCATTTTGGTGTGCAAAAAATCTCTAGTCCACGCAGGATTTTCTATTTTCATGAACCAATCACATAAAGGACTAGAGATTTCAAATAATCCAATTGTTTATAGACAAATTAATGCACATATGTTGAGTCTAAGAATTACAGTTAATATATACATGATGTATCATTACATACCTAGTATATGGATGGTTAAGGCAGACAATTGAATAGTTATACTGAAAGGACAACAGACTTGCAAAGCAGACGAGTGAGTACAGGCGTAACGAGTGGAACAGTAAAGACAAGTAAACACGTGATTTCAGCGGGAGAAGAGATGTGTCAAGTACAGAGCAGAAGGGCACATGGGCAACAAAGGTAAATTAACAAGCTAAGGTTTATGGAGTAGAGAGATGGCCTTAACAGTTAACAGTCAAAAGCAAGAATGAAATAACTGTAAAAGTCAGTCATGCCAAGTGCCTGCTACAGTTTCTGCCATCGTGTGTAAATTACGAGTGTAACTCTACGGCTCATGGAATGCACATAAAGTGAATGAGCAACTCTCTTTTAAAGATTACTTTTAGACAGGATGCAGAAACGTAACATGCACTGCACGCGGCCGGCACAGCTCCACCTCATTTCACCTCAGCCTCTTAGACAGAAACAATAACCAATGTTCTTTGCTGAAGTAAAATTGGAAAATGTGCCACAGCATAGAGACTGCTTCACTGAGGTCCTTACAACACTGTTTTCTAACCAGGCCCAAAGACTCGGAACCCATAGCTGCCAACAATTCTTTCCTCAACAAGTTGTGTGCTTTCACTTGCTGTAACGTCAGAGCAAACTTGGAGGTTTTTGTAAGAGAAAGGGAGCAAAGCAACAAAAGTTTAGGGCTAAACTACAAACCCTAATAATCCAAATGGTACCCTTCGTCTGGCTGAGAGAGCCTTGAACATTCATATTAAACTTGATAATCCTAAGGCTGCCTTAAGCTCTGAATTGAGCTTGCACATGAAGGATGAATATGGTATATTATAGGATTCAAAGCCACTATTACCGTTTTTATCCTCGATAGAGCACAGTAAAAATTATTGGCGCTCACAGCGTTTATCTAAAATACAAAGGTGACCCCACTAATTCAAAACAATTGTCGGCTATATGAAGCAAGACTTGCTTAGCAAGAACAGACTGAGGTTTCACAAGGTGCAGTTGCTCTCCTGCTGAAAGAAAGTGTAGTTTCTCCCCACGCTTGACGACTTTTGGGGAGAAAGATGGCATCGTGTGGACGCGAAATGTATGCATGCTGAACTTCTTTCGCACTGTACATAGCCAACCGTGCTAATCGAAGGTGCGGATATGCCACGCAACGGCTATGGCCAGAGGAAGCGATGTCTGCCAAGTGCTAATGAAGTGGTGTTCTTCACCACGGTCAAGCCAATCATCAGCCAAATTTTACAATTTGGGGTTTGACGATTTCCTCGGAAAATATAACGTAGATAGAATATATTAAAAAGGGCCATTGTCCAAACCATAACCTATATTTTTCTTCTCCTTTTAGGGGATGAAAAGGCTCCCACACTCACTTGATTAAAGACACCAAGTTTTGACATCGACTTATTTATACTTTGGGCATAAGTCAATAAAAATACATAATTCTAATGAAAAAATATATAATAATAAAAAAACTGCGTTGGTGCCAATGCTCTGGAAAAGAACAACATCTCACCACCTTTGTCGTAATATATGCCTTACAATAGAATATATAGGAGTCTAACATTTTGATCAACGGCTGATCCTGCAAAAGGGGTCATTGCCCAAAACCGCTAGCCTGTCATTTTTCTGTCGCAAGGCAGTGTTGACGAAGAAGATGGTGAGTCGTTAGCATTTATTAATATTTATGTACTTAACATTCTATTCAGCCGCCCCAACGCAGTGTTTTCTGGCTGGAGTGCCGTCACGTTGCGTCTCATCTTGCTCGTCGCACATCGCGCCGCCACGACACCGGGGGGGGGGGGGGGGGGGGTATGGGATCCAAACCTTGCACGCAATGCGCTGGTGGTATGAGGCACGTGGGCTGCGGGCGGCGTGCTGGTGATGGTAGGGAGGGAAGGCGAGCGAGGCGGGCCGGTGGGCAAGCGAGCGGGGGTGGTGGAGCATGGGCATGATGGATGGCGCGGGCTCCGCGGGAGGCGGAGGTACCGCGGGCTCAAACTCACGGCCACGGTCACAGCCACACAGCGACTGTCGGGGGGGGGGGGGCGACAACGGCAGCGTCGGCGTCACCATCACGTCGCTAACATCGCCGTTGCGGTGCGCCCAACGCTGCGGTTGGAAGGGGCCATTGGAAATCTGCACTTAACCTCACATTTTAAATGTTTCACGTTGTCATGATGATAATTAATAAGTCATCCTGTGGGGTGCTGCTGTGGCAGAGTGCTTACAACTAACAATGCACACTTTTAATGTGAATTGTTCCACTGCAGTTAATTAAATTGTTCTAGATGTAACCCAGATCACTCTTGAAAAAGAGGCAATATTTCATGGATGTATTTAATCTCCCTGTTAAATAAAGAATACATATAATATAAGGCTCCCACATCCTATCATCGCGCTTGTCTCTTTTTTTAGTTATTTTAAATTTTGATTAATTCAAGAAGCATATTAACTCTTATCTATTACACCTTCAAAAGGGATTTGTGTTGATGGCTACTCGGTGTTTTGGGCTTTTGCACATTATACCAGAAGCTGAGGAACAAGCAGACGATGATGCCGCAATAATATTTTCCACACGGACAGCACTTCGATGAGACTGTGAAAGTCAAATGTATAAGTCTTGACTTAAAACTTTCGTGACTGCAGGAATTCATATTCTTTGGGACTTTCGGTAAAGTCACGTTGATATGTTCAAAGAAAATAAAAATAACAAAAAACGACGTTTCGATTGCAACGCAAGCGGTCGTCATCAGGAGGAAAAAAGGAAAAGCTGCTGAGGCAGACTGATTTAAAGGTTTTAAATGGGCGTAGCCCAAGGGTCATAAACGAAGTGGGCGGGGCTATTGATGTTAACGTGATAAATCAAATGTATAAGGTTGCGCATTGAAATTTCACCTACGATAAACTCAAGGGCTTATCCGTGCGGGCTCAATGAAACGAGTAGCACTTTGTGGGAAGTCAACCAGTGGCTGTACAATTAAGACTGGCCCCCATAAGAGCAACGTGAAAATCCGGGAACGAGCTATGAATGGAAATGAACACCACCTAATGCTCATTTGAGCATGGGAAAACTGACTTTATTTGACAATACTCTTTGTAATGCATGACAAAATCTTTAATTCTGAATAAAGCCTCCTTGCCACCTATTTGCTCTACTACCTCACAGAGATACCTCATTACCTTTCAGGTAAGTGAACATAACGGTTTAGTCTCTGAGAGCCACACCACCACTGCTTCCAAAACACTGGATTGTAGGTAAGTGTCCACACCATTGTTGGTGTGTGGAATGCAATGTGTGTAGTAATCGGAATGAGAATTAAGTGAGACGATGGTAATTGGATTAATGTGTGCATCAGGGTTCATGTGCAGATTTACAACAAACTCCATTCACCATGTTTCAAACACAGAGCACGGGTCTTGTGGGTGATTTGTTTCCGAGTGCTTTATTACCTTCACACGAGATAGCGCTGTCAAGCTTATATAGCTTTCTTACAAATTAGCCCTTGAGTTTGTTTTAAACCAATAATTCATCCCTATATCCTGATAAGTGTTGAGTCTAAAGGCTCTTGTTCATGATGGCCCTGCTTTGGCTATTGGCTCAATTCTTTCTCGAGTTTATTTTGCACGATTTCCCAGAAGCAACCCACGCATTTGAGGAATCATGCTCGAACTGTGCCCATGGCACAGCCTATTATGCGTATGTTCCTGCCCCCAGTCTCATTGCAAACTGCAAACCTCTCGTGCAAGTTGCTGGATTACAGGCGTGCGCCACCAGACCCAGCTTTTATTTCAGGGATCGGCACTAGAAGAAACAGGACCTACGACACGCACGAGTGCAATTTAGAAAACACTCCACTGCGCTATTAACGAACCTGTAAGTTGTTAAAAACCAATTTAGTGTTGTATTTCACAGATTGAACACTAAAACAAATAATCAAATGTCTCTTACATATATAATTAAACAAATGGGAATCAGTCATTCACTGTGCTAACTTGTAACATTATAGCTCGCAGCTTGACAGCATTTCCCGTAAAACAAAGCAAATTAAATTTTGATTTAAAGCTTTCGTGACTGCAGTAATTCATATTCTTAGTTTTTTCGGTAAAGTCACGTTGAAGAGAAACAACAAAATAACAAAATATATATAAAACAATATATTTTGTTGTTTCTCTTCAACGTGACTTTACCGAAAAAACAAAGCAAATTAAATCGATAAACAAACCACCCTGGCACTCGGCTCAGCTTTCACAACAACAACAACACCAATGGCCAGAACTGATAGACAAACATGGTATGGACAGGCAAAATGGGTGCCACAATGGCACGAGGTAGCACCCCCGGGAGAGCAGGGGGTGCTTTTGCCATGCTACAGGTGGCAGGAGGATGGTTGGCGGTGGTGCAAAAAACCTCGATTGTGACGGCACGTGGTGTCTCTACCGCGGAACCGCCACAACGTGTGCCTCATGGAGCTTTGCTTATGGCACAAACCCACCGCCACCATCACCACCACGACCCCCTTCTGCTACCCGTGGCACACTGAAAACACCCACAGTGCCTGGGGAGGTAACGTTGAGCGCCACTGTGGATCTGTGTTGCCGGCAGAACAGATGACATGTCAATGGCCGATGCATGCAGCCGTGCTGATGGTGACCACACCCCGAGTGCATGCAGGGCTCTGTCTCTATGTAAACGCTCACCGCACCTGGGCTCCTCCACAAGCCCGGAATTAGTTTTTTTATTTACATTGGCCGATAGTGATACACAGAGAGGGCATCTGAGCACCCAAATGCAGTCTGAATTGTTCTGCACAACAGTTTTATCTTTTTAGACTTAATTTAGCTGGTGTAAGACAGTGAATGAGAATGAAAAAAAATCAAGCAGAGACTGAAAATAAATTAGGCTTTTTCAATTTGGAGTATGTTCTGTTTGTAATATTTAACCACAAAAATTAGCTAAGCCTGCTAATTTCACAAGCAACCCCCTCATTTACTGCAAATTAGCAGACGATTGTGCCGCTAATTACCGTAAATAAATATTGTCCAATTTTATTGCAATCCTGCAGCTACATTCTCTGCTGCTGATTTTTCCCGCGGTGGCGTTTATGCACTTGAGTGACAGGAGCATCCCACAATGCCAAGAGAGTGGATGGAGCGAGTGATGCCAGAATGGGAGGCCCTGGCAGGCCCGTTTCGGCCTGCGGCAGCCGCCACCATTCACCGCCCCCCCCGTGCCCTCTTGTTGTTCTTTCAGATACCGACACGGAGCGCACACCTTGTCCGCCTTGAGTGCGGCGCCCTGCGTGGAGCCAGTGCTAGTGGAGGATGGCGAGCTACAGTCGCTGGTGGAGAGGCAAGCCTCCGAGGTGTCGGACGACGCCGGGCTAGGCACTTTTGTCTGCGTCGCGTCGCACAGGCGTTTGCGTGGGACAGGCGGAGAAGAGTGTGGGCATCAGTGGGTGCGCATCGGCTCTTCGTAATGTTGGGCAATTATCTTTGATCGGAGTGGAGGCTTAAATGTAAGGGCAGGGGTGGGGAACCTTTTTCTTCACGAGGGCAGATTAGGAATTTTAAAAAGCTGTGGCGGGCCACACATAGACACACACATACACAACTCAGTAACTTCTGTAAATGCATGAGGACCTTGCAGCGACAGAGTGGGTTATAATTACAACACGGTGTTGTTGCAAGTTACAAAAATATTATCCTCTAGTACCAAATTAGTATGGCGAAGATGATTGCAGTGATGGATTGATATTGTTTGCAGGTCATTTGAAAGTGGTAGGCCTCGAGTGGAACAAATGCAATGAAGTGTGCCGAATAGAACCTGTGGATCATAGGTTACCCACCCCTGACAAAGGGGAACAGATAAGCAGACAATATCTCCTTCATATATCTCTATCTCCATTCAAAACATTTAAAGTATCTTTTACAAAACCCATCAGTCTCGTGGGCTTTCTGGAAGTGCATAATTCCTGCAGCATTGATTCATAACATGCATATTCTGGACCAGTTTTTACAGTGTCTCATCAGCAGAGTCAGACTTGCCAGATTCTAGAAGCAAAGACCTTTTATTTAAAATATGGGTCCTAGTTTGAAACAAAATTATATAACATTTATGCGAAATAACAATTTGTATCATGGAGGATATAAATAACCAAATAGATTACCAATTTCTCCTTCATATTTCTATAGCGCTACATAAAAAATTAAGTATTTCTTACACAACCCATCGGCCCCACAGCCTTCTGGGAGTGCATAATTTGACATGAGAGAATTTACTGTAAAAAGGATAGTGCCTAAGTAGAACCACAGGTGGCTACTGGTACTAATAGTCAAGCCACCATTCACTGGAATGGAGATCAATGTGAACAACGGTTTAAATGTCTCAGAAAATATCCAATTTTCCTTTTTATATATGTAGAGGCATTCAATGTTTGTTCCCAATTATATTCCAACTGTGCTTCCAAAATTATATCATGGGATGAAGATATTTCCATTTGAAATGCACACTATGAGCAGTGTAACATCACATTGTGTCAAGGAACAGTCCCGGCATTATTCTATTCGAATTACTTCTAAAATGACACGATTAGACCTATTATCTACTCTACAGGTACACTTGTTTTATATACATGGTAAAGGTTATTTGTCACATGGCACTGAAACAAAAAGCTGGAATATATCAAACTGACAAAACAACACTTGACAGGTGTGTGCATTCATTGCCCACCAGGCTGAGACCATCAATTTTTTTCACTCGCAAACCTAATTTAATTCACAGCAAGCTTCTTGGATCCAACCTCAGAATCTCAGCATTGCTGGCTGTGTGGTACTAAGATGGTCATTATGAGCACCCTCAGCCAGCCTGCCGCAGTGGCAAGATGTGGGGTGCCGCGGTGGCGAGATGTTAACTATTTTCGCCTGGTATTCAGGAAGACGTGATTTGCATCCCAACCCTGATGCCTGTATATTTGGAGTTTGCGTGTCTCTCTCCCCGTGGTCGCGTCGATTTTCCTTTGGATCGTCCAGTTTTCCCTCCACAATTAGAAACATGTGTTTAAGAGTACTTGGGTGCTACACATTTCCATATGATAAATCACTTCATTGAGCTATCATTTTTGGCCAGGTTGCTTCTGAAAAAGCTATATAGCTCAGTGGGCCTTACCTAATTAAAAACAAGTTCAGTTTATAGTTTAGTTTATATGTCTAAGCAAATATTTAAAACAAATAAATGTTTGAATTACTTGCAGAAGTACCACCCAGGTGCTTTTCCTAATTTGATGGCAAGCAGTTGTCCTGAAACCCCAAGAGCTGCTATGTTTGATACCTGGGTAACACAAGTATTGGTGCCTGTGTCACCAGGTCAGTTTGTAAGGAGTCAATGTTCTAGTGCTGCTGTTGCCTGGTAATATATTCTGGGAATTACAGTCTGCGGCAAAGTAAATGCTAAGATAGGTTAAGGTGCAACCCTTAAAATGGCTTGCTCATGGTACTACTGGGAGATGGGTCTCCAGTAGAGGGAGCACTCAGGAGTTCTTCTAAATATATATGTGGCGAACTCTTCCACTCTGGCCAGACTTTCAGTAATGTGGGAATAGACACATTTCACCCTATGCACCCATTTATACTGCTGGGTTGACAAGAGGGATTTAAGAAACCTGTCGACTGTTTCAACTGCTGTGTAGAGAGATAGACCAGTCGACGACCTTTGGATTGCAAGTCCAGTGTGCCGATTATTAACACCACAGCAGCATCCGGATTCTAAGAATCTGGCAAAACAGTATTTGTAAAAGATGTGCTGCTGCCTGAAGTATGTTCCACATTTATAAAATCAGAGTTATTACAGTGGTGTTAGAATATTTTTTTGGTAACATGCTATGTTAGAAAATTACTGGCAGGAAAAAATGTAAGAATAGCTGCCAATATACAATTATGGTCTCCAAGATTTTTACAATAGCAAAGGAGATAGAGAAACCAAGACAGCTACCATCTGTTTAGGTAAAGGATACATAGCACTCCATTATACAGGACAAGTGACCTGCTTCCTACACACTGTCATTACCAAGTACAGCTGTGAATTTATGAATTTACACCAATGTAGGGTTTTATGACTCGTAAAAGGCCAATTATCCACATCAGTAGGAGTCAACTGCATTAACATGCAGCGTCAGTAAGCACTACTCTACATTGCATCGGATAATTTACAGCCTAATGGTTCGACATTTTCTCTACTTTTTAAAGCCATATTTTGTTTCACAATCACATAGTGGACTAGGCCTGCCCTAAATCACTTCTCAGCCAATAATGTGTTGCTGCTGTATGAAACTTCAAAGGGTACTAAATTTACAGTACAAGCTTAGACTAAATGTAATGTTGGGATAGATATACGTTGCGAACCATTGCAGTCGATATATTTCCAGGCACTGTTAAATTTAAATGCCCAAATTGCACTGAACTCTAAACCAGAAAATTATGTCTGTAATCATCCACTAGGTTGTGCTGTACCAGCTGTGATTAATTCAGTACGTAGCTGCTATATCGCCTGGACCCAATTATGATTTATTTTTTCCAAAGCAATATTTTCTAAGGGCAAAACCGGAGAAAGACGCAAACATATAAACACACTTTCAAACAAATTGTGTCAGTCTAAATATAAGATATAAATGGAGATTGCGTGTACAAAGTTCGATTTAAGAGTCATAATAATACCTTTGTATATTTTTGAGTCACTTTTGGCAATGATAAAATAATCGGACTCCCTACATTAAAGTGGCGCACTTCCCCTTTCGTTGATCCATTCCACCAGGTGGTTCTGGCACGAGAGGAGGCTAAGGAGTTGGCCACCAGCACTGTGGCCACATCAGACTGACCGTTACTGGTGAGACTTGGCGATAGGAAGAGAAACTCGCTGGGAACTTGGCCAGAAGGAACCTTAAAGGTTAGCACCAGGAGGTAGATCCTGCTAAAAGCTCTATTAGTATTTGCTGCAACACCTTGACTTATCTGCTCTTAAGAAATTGTTACTTTCAGTGGCGACTCAGCACTGGCTCCGTTCCCTGGCATGGACGTAAGTCAGCTAAGAGAAAGCCAGCCCTCTTACTTAAACCCCTGAAACTTAGCGGTAGTGGCTCAATACGGCAACATATATAACAGCCTCCCTCAGAGAAACAAACCCCTCAGGGCTTGAATCCAGACTCTCAAAAGGTGCTCAAGGGCTCTTTCACAGACAATGAATGACCTCCTGAGAGACATTGAACCTCAAGGCTTTGGACTTAAGATCTTGGTCATACACTGCCCTTCTCAGTCTGCTGAATCCCCGAATCTGCGGGTTCCGTTAAGCGACACACATATGCGTGTCCGTGCCTACCTGAGTGTCGGGGGGAGTGAGGGAGGCGGCGTCAGCGGCTGGGAATCCAGAGTCACGGGACGACACGCTGTAGAAACGGCTGCTCAGGTGCGTTGGAGGGGCCACACTGCAGAACACGCCCACACAACAGCTGCATGTCATTTGATCGTTTAATTCTTCATTTTTTTATCTTTACCCCATTTTTTCCCTATTGTACCATCAGCGTCAAATCATGAAACAAATTAGCCATTTACACCTCTTACAGAGCAGGGTAACCGGTCAAGGAAACCGATATCAGAGAACCACTTCTGAGACCCTTTCAGGTGGCCTCTGATCCACACAGCATGGAGCAGCCCTTTCCCACAACGCTGTACCAGAGAGTAATTTTCATTGCATGCAAATCAAACTGATATTTTTAAATTCCCAGAGCTGATTTTTCCCAAATTAAGTGCCAAACCAAACGTAATGCAAGTAAAATATTGACAAAGCTTTCGTGACTGCAGGAATTCATATTCTTTGGGTCTTTCGGTAAAGTCACGTAGATAGGTTCAAAGAAAATAACAAAAAACTACGTTTCGATCGCAACACAAGCGGTCGTCATCAGGAAAAGTTTAAACCACATGCAGCTGCCCAGATTTGAACCCAGGATTCACAGCGGCGCAAAAGCTCAGCGTTTTTCACTTCTGAACCACCTGGGCACCTCTTTGTTACTTGTAACACGGGGCCACCCCTGCTGCCACTGCCGCGGGTGGCGCTCTTCTTACCTGCTGACGCTAGAGCGGCGGGAGGAAGCTGTGAGGCTCGGCGAGGCGGGCGGGGTGTGGATTTTCCAGCTGAAATCCGAGCCCTTCAAGTCTAAAATTACCTGCAATAAAAATCCAAGCAACACAACACGAAACCAACTGTTAACCCCTGCTGCCAGCTGCCCGCTCCCTGTACTTGGCTTTGGGGGCACGAAGCATTAAAAGCATGCAGCCTCATGCCCCAACTATCTTGATGAAAAATATGTAATTTGGCACTTACATTTTAAAGCTGTCTCGCATACACGAGAAGAACTAAACACTTCTGAGAAAAGGCAACTGATATATCGATATCAGTGTGTTGTAAGAATGGTACGGATACCGATTGTACTAAATAATAGTTTTACAGTATGCCACATATCCGAACATTACATATCCACCCTGACTAAATATTTGTGCACGGTGTAAGTTTCATTTTGTATTGGTGTTCACAAATCTGACTTTTACACTTTTTTACAGATATTTACATGGCCCACTTTTTCACATCCGCCTATACCTCAGTCTCCATTGAATTGGATACACAGCAACGCACTGTATTATAATTAAAAGCATGCACATCCCTGCGTGCATTTCTCATTCCGGTCATCCTTCAATACAGTCAACTCGACGTTGTACTCTACTAACAAATGTAAAGTTGCGAGTTTAAATTTCTGGTCGAGATTCAACTCAATGAATCATCCGTCCAGGGTTGATAAAATTAGGTCAATTTTGAGAAGTCAACAGTGGTTGCCCTATAGAAACTAGACCATGTAATGGGAATGTGGAGTATCTACCACTGGCTCAAAGCTGACAATGGACCTCACCAGTGCTTGTTGTTAAGGAAAATGTAATACAACAGCTAGTTTCTCACATACATGAAATTATGATTGCCAAATATAAGTTGGAAGCTTTGTATATATGAGGGAAAAAAACATGTCAGGCATGTCATTTTAGCAGTGTGGTGAAGCCACTTCTTTGTATTTTAATAGCAACATCACTAGAGTACTAGGACATTGTGCTCAACTGGGATTTCTGAATATTTCTCCCCCCTCATGAACGATGCTGTAAGCTTGTGTCAAACAGCCTGGAACACCCAGTCTGGGTACATATCTACAAAACGATATTTTTTTGGGGATGCATTTTCCTTTGCTATATGGGCACTGACTTTACTCCATACATCAGTGCACCTATCCTACAACTAGTACATAAATGCAGGGGTTTTAATCAAACTCATTTAATGTTGGTGCTACTTTCATCTGGGTGATTGATTCTCAATATTGTTTTACCACCCTTGTATGTAAAAACACTGCACAATCGTTTTGTGTACACAAGTGACACACATTATGAATACATTGTCAGCAGAAGTCAGTGCAGAAAAATATATTATTGTATTGCACTGCGCACCGTCATTGCTCCCTGCCTACACCAACCCGCACTGATCAGCGTAGTGAATGGTGATCAAACAACTCGCACAACCTACATGGCATGGTGAGACCTTCAACCATCAGTGGCTTGACAAAAGGGCGATGGATGTAGATTGTCCATATGGAATTTATGTCTCCACATTTGATTTGTTTCGGTGTACAATTCCCCCCCCTGCAGATTTTGACCTATACGTATATGTATTAACTATAAACTGCTGAGGCAAGCCGCTTTCAGAAAAAAGCCATTATGACCAGCATGGCACTAAAGGGAATTGTACGACGAGCACCACACATGCCCAGCCACCTTTGTTTCTGCAATGCCAAGGTTCTCCACCTGAAATACACATTGTCATGCGTGTTGCACATGGCCAGGAATCAAAGCAAGCTGATAGCACTTTGCAGTAAGTACCATACTGCAGTTCGTATTTACAGACCTCTATAAACACTGTTGTGACTTGAGCAGGAATTTTTTTAATCTAAAACCTACAAATAGACCTAATGTGTTCATTCATTCGTGCGATTTAATTTCACTCACAATTTATTCATGTTTTTACTTGGTTTCTTTTTGTGAATTTATGTCGTGACTCTTTTTCTATTACAATCTAGTTTACTAAAACAAAAAAAATATTTTCCACACAGGCAACCTCTTTATTCTTCTAAGGCTAAAACGTGACCACAAAATGCCCACGTAACTCTGCAAATGCTGTTGCCAAAGAGAAGTGTTTTATATTAATATAATTAACTTTTGTGCGGAAGGTAGTGGAACGGAGGAAACGATACATTTTCTGAGTGCCGTGGTGAATTTATCACTTGTCCCATACTACGAGCATACACGGCTACACACACACATGCATGCGTTGACAGTATAAGGTTTTATAAAGGTCTAAAAAAATCAAAGACACAAGAAGAAGCAAATGCAAGAGGGCCCCCCTAACAGGCTGTGCCTATATTCTTGGTTGTTTCGGTAAAGTCACGTAGAAGGGAAACAATAAAATAATAAAAATCTAAAACATTAAAATTCTCACGATGTTTCGACTGCAACACAAGCAATCATCATCAGGTGTGAAAACCACAGCAAGAAAAAATTGAAAAAAGTAAAAAAAAAGAACATAGGCTATGCCTATGAACATGCCTATGTTCTTTTTTAACTTTGCACGTTGCTTCATAAAGCGGTGACACCCCTAATCACAACACAAATAAAAAGAAGTAGCCAGGACACTGCTTTGTAGCGATATAAAATCATGGTGGTTAAGTGGGGAGTGAAGCACTAAGACATGGGCAGCTTTACACACAAATGCACGATTGCATACAGAATTAAACAAAAAAAAGAGGTATGTAGAATAACGCAAGGTTTAAGTGAATTATTCATATGGGGATAGGCAACAAATGGCTCTTCAGCCTGCATTTAAAACGTGCAAAGGAGTTACGAGGTCAGGCAATGAGCAGAATGTTTGTAGATGTCAAAAGCAGGGATACAAAACCAGCCTTATGAACTATTGGTGCGCTGATGCAATGAGACACACGATTCAGTCTGAAGTACAACTGCAATTAGTTGATTAGTCATCAACGGAAGTAATTTTAAAACTTGATTATTAATATGATAGCTAAGCACTGTGTTAGCAGATTGAAGGTATTCAAATTAAACATGCAAGATATCTGCATTGTGTCTAGGATCATGTGTAAATAAAGAAAACACGAAACCAGTTTCATATTCGAGTCTCATAAGCAGCAAATGGACAACCATTGTAAACTTCCCACAAAGTAGTATTAATTTTAGTAACCTTGACTGGATAGAATGCCGAGTTGACCCCTTTCCTCCACCCGCACCTCCGATTTTCATTCCCCCGCACCTCCAATTTTTTTTCCCGCGCCTCCAATTAGCACGGTTGGCTATGTACGGTGGCAGAAGAAGTTCAACATACATATGCCCAGGCTTTGTCCTTCTGATTGTGCAATGAACATTCTGCCAGTGCTACCTGTTGTTGATTGTTCTTTGAAGCAATAATTTCGAGCTCCAGCCACAAGAGCAAATTCTGTGCAGTTAAATCACAGCAACGTATTCATGCTATGCTGCACCAGCGGTGTAGACCTTGACAGTATTACCTGCTCACTGGCTGGGGGCAGCCTGTGAGGATCGGAGGTCATGTTGGTCAGGTCCTGCACTATGGTCTGCAGATGAGTGACTTCCTCCAACATGGAAATCTCCTGGTCCTGAAAATATGTGAGGAAAGCAACAATGAATGATGACTAACACAGACAGGTACCAATACATGCAAACTAACCATTACTTTTCTACGCACAATTTTATCCCTATAGAGCTATCAGTGTCTTGTCATGATATGAAGTATTGCTTCAGATATCTTGCAGAGCAGTGGAACCCTTTGTTGGACAATTTCCCATGAGAACATATATCACGGAAATATTTATGAGATCCATTCAAATGACCTCGAGTCCACACAGTTGTGGTCAGTACTTTTCCACCCCTCTCAGAATAATGCTCGTTGAATGACTGTCAAACCAAAATGTGTAGTGATCAAAGCTGGAATATGACCAAATAAAGTGCAGAATGACATTTAATGTCATGGCTAATTGTAGTCAGTGGTGTCCAGGCTGAGGACCATTAAATCACAACACAGAACTCAGTTTAATCAGAGGCAGCTGCCTGGATTGGAAACCAGAATTTCAGCAGTGTCAACTCGGCACTTTGACCTTTGAGCGACATGGCCTCCTTGCCTCAGATTTTATTGAGAAAACAATGGCATCACATTGTTTTTTTGGTATTAATTATTTTTGTTCCAAGTGTTAGGCAGCAGCAGGATAGCAATCGGGGAATATTTATAGCACAGCAGAGTTGTTTCTTGCCCCGGCAAGACAACTATCAATAAAATTCACTTCTACCTGGAGTAGGTTTCAAGTGGGCAAAAACTATGTTTTTAAAGAGTACAAAGGCATGCTTTTGCAACATTTTTTCACTAATGTTCACATTAGAGAGTTTAGTGGGACAAAACAAATTAAAAATGCCAAGTTGCAATGTTGTTGAAGGGAGCTAAACTATGCAACATGATTTGAAAAGGATAAGAAAGCAGATCGATGGAAAAAATGAAGAAAGAATTCCTTGAAATATCTACAGCGCATAGGTTGTTAACCTATTCCCAAATCATGTAAATATTTTCCATAAACATGTTTTGTTACAGCAGATTATGTTCCATCCAATAAAACCTCTTTTCCAATTTCTGATGAAAATACATTGTAAACAATACAAGTAAATCTATATTTTCTTGCCTATTGTTAAATGAACACAACAATAAACAACTAACAAACATCCAACCTCCTGTATTTGCTAACAATAACAAATGTGCTCAAACAATTTCTGCACAAAGCGACAGTGTTGTTTGTATAATTAATTTACAAAATTTACATCTTGCCAATGCAAGCTTCAGAGTCTGAACATATGCTTTCAGATGGGCCCTGCTTTGGCATTTTGCCCATTTGCTGTCATACTTTTTTTTGTACAAGCGATGAAACCCCACCATTGAGAAGAGATGCTCAAAATTGGCAGAGGTATTCCACCTATAATCTATAGTTGATCATCGATTATCCGGGGTGAGATTATTAGGCTTCTAACATTATCCGGCGGCCCGAAACTGATCCAGCAAAACTGGCAAAACTACTCCAAAGGCTGTACCAGTTCAGGGATCGGCACCACGTCCGTGGCGAAAAAAGTAGCTATGCTCGATTTCAGTGTCAAATATTATAAACAGTACATTATACACTATCTTCTTTGGTTCTTTCGGTAAAGTCACGTAGAATGAGAATAAAATAATAAATTGATAAAATAAAATAACACAATAATATTCTCACGACGTTTCGGCCACAACACAAGCGGCCTTCATCAGGTGAAGGGGGCGAGACTGTCTGGTAGGACAGCGCTGGAGTGAGAGAGCCACGTTCAGATCACGGCTTTTAAGCTGTGTGAGAGGAACAAAGAGCCACGGATAGCTATGGGCCCCGTTCAGACGGACGAGTTCGTCCATGGTCGGAACAGAGGAGGGGGAGAGAGACAGCTGCGAGGCCCTAGTACTCGTCCGTCTGAACGGGGCCCATAGCTATCCGTGGCTCTTTGTTCCTCTCACACAGCTTAAAAGCCGTGATCTGAACGTGGCTCTCTCACTCCAGCGCTGTCCTACCAGACAGTCTCGCCCCCTTCACCTGATGAAGGCCGCTTGTGTTGTGGCCGAAACGTCGTGAGAATATTATTGTGTTATTTTATTTTATCAATTTATTATTTTATTCTCATTCTACGTGACTTTACCGAAAGAACCAAAGAAGATGAATCATTGCAGTCACGAAAGCTTTAAATCGAAACATTATACACTACATACAACTTAAACAATGACAATACTGTACGTATATATACATCACCCCAGGCACTTCCGACCAGGAACACATAGCCAGTGAACTCAAGCACGTACACCAAGCTCTTAAGGCTAATAGTTACTCCGACTACGCAATACGCAAAGCTATCACTCCAACCATGAAGAAGGACCCTCTTGAGGAGCCTTTCAAAACCATCACTTTACCCTACATTGCGGGGATCACAAAAAAGATCTCCAAAATTTTGAATGAACACAAGATCCAGGTCCGATTCAACACATTACATAAAACCCGTGATCTGGTTCCGTCTGTAAAATATGTGATTCCGGACATACAGTACCCTGGCGTCTACAAACTAAGTTGCCTCTGTGGTAGTAGTTACATTGAAGAAACCAAACGACATGTCTCGGACTGCATTCGTGAACAAAAAGCAGACCTTAAACAAGGTAGGACCAACACCTCGGCCGTGGCAGATCACTGTTATAATTCAGTAGGCTCACATGACATTGACTTCTCCAAGACAGGGGTTCTTTGCAAGCCATCTGGCTACCATGAGAGATTCGTTCATGAGGCTATCCACAAACCACAGCAAGAAAATTTGAAAAATTGTCTTGCTGTGGTTTTCACACCTGATGATGATTGCTTGTGTTGCAATCGAAACGTCGTGAGAATTGTTTTATATTTTTATTATTTTATTGATCCATTTACGTGACTTTACCGAAAGAACCAAGAATATATATTTGTATATTTATGTATGCCAATTTCACGTAAACACATTTTAAACACTAACAAATATACCTAAAAGCTAAAAACACGTTGTTACACAAGAATGTGCAAAAAATAAGCTATTCTAAATAATAATTTAGTGATTATCTGGCATTTTTTTAAATCCTGCACCTCACCCCCCCCCCCCCCCCCCCCCCCCCCGAAGCTGCCGTATAATCGATGATCTACTGAAAACCACAAACTGCCTCTGACAGCGGTTCACCTCAGGCCTTCAAAGGGGGTGTTTCACACAGGCTCCTATCTCTGCATGATCCACCAACCAGGTTTCCACAATCACTGCCACATGCACACATCACTGCCGCAGGCAATCCTCATTGCGACAGGCATTAATCGCTGCCAGGGGAATACGTAATTTTCACATGTACATATCACTGCCACAGGAATTCCTCATTGCTACATGCACACAATGCCAAAAGAATGCATCTTTACTAGTCACACAGCACCACCAGAGGCACTCATCACTGCCACAAGCATATATCACTGCCACAGGTGCAAACCAGTAATTTGCTTATGGCAGTCACATGCATGTCATTTTCATTTACGAGTCTGTCGTTGTCATGCAAGTGCATCACTGCCACATGTAGTAATACGGCCATGTGCGTGTCTTGGCACCAGCATGTACCATCCATCATTTTAGTGTCATCGCAATATGCGCATGTCTGCCACATTTATGCCTCTGCGATGTGCGTCCATTGTTGCCACGGATCTCTTGTACTCTTTGAGCATCACAACTGTTGCCGACATGGCCGCCTAAATTTTTGGTGACAAAATGCCAGACAAGGCCCACTCTGAGTACTTCCCTCAGATCTGAGCCTCGCGACAGACAGCCCCACCTGACCACCCCACTTCTAACTCCCTGGTTACCAGCACGGGCCGCAGGTGGTACACGAAGGTGCAGAAGCGGCCGCGCTCCTCGATAAGTGCACGGCGCACGGCGCCTTTCTCCGTCTCCTCCAACAACAGGTATGAGTCGTTGACGTCCTGCAGAGCCAGCTCCAGTTGGGGTTGCACATCCACACCTTTGCCTGCGCACCCACGCAGGCACCGACGGCACACAAGCGTACACATGCATGTCGAGTTGCGGGCCAGTGCGCAGCAAAAGTGCGTCGCGCGATAAGGAATCTGTGTTAACGTGGATTAATGCAACAAAAGCTCTCGTGACTAAGCAGCACATCGGAAAAGTTAGAATTCACTTGGATGAATGTCAATACGCAGTACTGTGCGTGAGAAGTAATGGACTTAACGTTCATATACATAAAAGTACCATAATTAATAATAGTGTGAAAATGTATGTCAATGAGCAATTGATAGTCATGGTGTAGTACATGCCATGTAATGGGATTCATGTCCGTAAAGAAGTACATAAAAATAAGAAAATTAATGTCAATGTGTTTCATGATGATAATATCAGTGTCAATGTGCAGTACATGGTAACCAATGCAAAATATATTTCAGGGTGTAGTACATGCCGAAGAACTGGAATCAATGTTGATGTTCCGGACTTCACAAGCACCGAAAAATGGGCATTGGAGTCGTACATGACAATGCATAGAATTCATGTCAATGTGAAATGCACCACAAACACCTGAAGGTACATCAAGGTATAGTACATTACAAGCACGGAAGAACGCAGGTCAGGGTACAACGCCATTCATCACAAGCACTGGAGAATTTGTAACGTGCTGTACATCACATGGACTAGAATGAATGACATGTGGTGCATGACAAGCACTGGTTAATGCATGCCACTGTGCAGTACATGACAAGCAATGATAGTGTGCACATCACTGCACGGCACAGACATCACCAACGCTGCAGGACTCATGCCAGTTGTGTAGCATCACAAGTAGGCATGTTATTATAATTCACCGTTCCACCGAGATTGGACTGTCATTATTCTAGTTACAACTAAACTGAAGAATGAGTTTAGCTTGTTGGTCTTGTCTGTGCCATCTTAGTTGTATAGTTAATTCCAAAACATTAGCCTGAATTTGCATACATGTATATGAATATGAAATAAACTATTCTTATTTCATTTATTTGATGCATGCATCGAGTGTGAAATCCATTTGAATCGATAGTTACATGACAAATCACAACCAGTTAAGAATGCACATCAGCATCTCATTTACCGCAGATAAGAGTTTCCCTCTGCGTGTAATGAACTGTAATTTATCGTTGCTTGCCGTGTACTGTGCAGTGCCTGTCAAATGATGCACATCATTGCAGTGCACATCACAAGCTCCAGAATGCATGACAAGTGCAGTGCATGTCAATAACTGGGAATTTATGAGAGAATGCAGCACCTAGCGATTCAAACATAGGTCCCAGCATACATGACACACTACGGAATGTAAGAAACAACACAAGAGTATACACTGCAGTGTTTTGTAAGCATTCCACAAAGTAAATGATAAGCAAATCACCATAACACTGGGGAAAGACACGTCAATAAATCAGTATGCATCAGTGTGCAATAAAGCACGTGAAAACCACATCAAAATGCAGTACAAGCACTCATAACAAATATTTGTGCAAAACATGCCAAAGCCAAACACACTAATCGGTGTGTATAACACAGCAACAAGTGCACACAAATTGGCATGCAAAACACGACACACTAGTGTACACAAGTCAGCGTGCAGTGTAAACATTACAAGCACTTGTGAACAGAGGCGAGCCACGCCTCGGGCAATGTTACACATTCGGCAGTGTACACATCGCGTACACGCCAGGATGCACACGTCAATGTGCATCACCTCGATGGGCATTGCGTGGCGCGTGCTCCCGCACATCCGTCCATGTACATCACATCTCGTGTGCAAGCCAGCGTGCCTCACGGCAAATGCCAGCGTGCCCACGCATGTGAATATACACTGCTAGTCTGCACGAAGCGGTACATGCCATGGCAGCGCACACTACACAGTGGGGCATGCGGATTATTGTACCCCACATAATAAGCACTTGCAAGTCCATGTGGAAAATAACGGTCCGATTTAATTACGCTTACCAAAATCTCAAATCGCCTTTCACCTGGATAAGAGTTTTTCACTTAACCAAGACAGGCCACTGAATAAAGGCACTCTCCGACAAGGAACACCTGGGAGACAAGCAAAACTTTTGGACCAGCTATTATTATCTGGTCTACATTTCATTTGATCTTTGAGCGGAGGATGGACACACTAAGTGCACATGCCAATTATTATTCAAAATCTTTTTCCTTTCCGTTATTATTTTGTGCAGTCATCTGCGAAGGGATGAAAAGCTTCGAGTTTTCTGTTCCCGAGAACCCATCCAGTCGGGGGAGGCAGTGTTTGTTTTTCGCTTGCCTGCTCCAGTAATTGAATCCAAAACTTCAAAAGCCGCTGGCTCTCTACACAGGACACGACAATTCTTCTTTAATACTCAGAAGTGATGGTTTCTTCAATCGTGATATCCGTTCAGTCTCGCGAAAGACCACAAAGTTTTGTGTTGTTACCATTGTTGCAGGGTAGATGCACGTTAAATTCTGACCTTACCAGACCTCACAAGAAAGGAGGAGTGGACCCAGTCAGTGGTTGGAAAGGGTGACCTCTGTTGAGAACAAAAAACCTGCTGCTGTATAACGTGGCATTCATGGACCAAATGGCAGCAATTCCCCCCCGCCCCCAAAATGTGGAGTACATGCTGTGACCAGCAAAGTGCTGGGATGTGTACTATGTTGTTGGAAGGAACCATTTTCTAGAAGACACTTAAAACTAAGTTCCTGCACATGTTGTGGCCATAAAAAGACCACCATAGCCTTCCATAATAACAAAAAAGATGACAATCTTGATTTAAAGCTTTCGTGACTGCAGTAATTCATATTCTTAGGTCTTTCGGTAAAGTCACACCTGATGACGACCGTTTGTGTTATGGTCGAAACGTCGTCAGAATTTTATTGTTTTATATATTTTATTATTTCATTGTTTCCCTTCACGTGACTTTACCGAAATAGCTAAGAATAAGATGACAATCTCTCTACATTTCCACTCAACGGAGCCGATCAAAGAGAAAACTTTGATTAATGAATAAATGGGTGCAAATTTAATTTTAAAAGCTCTCATGACTGATTAAATGAAATTAAGGTAAGACGTAACAGGGGCTTGGTAATTCACCTACTTCAGGGTGTGGTGGCAGAAGGCTGCAATTTTGAGGTGGAGTCGATGGATCATGCAGAGATCAAGATGTGTGCAAGCCATCTTCTTGAAGTATTACAAAGTAACATATGAAAGCAGCAGAGCAAGTAGGTTCCAGAATCTATGTCTAATTTTGACTAATTATCTGAATTATGGATTTTTTTCTGGGTACTCTGGTGTCCTCCCACACATAAATAACAAATAAAGTACATATAAAATACCGAAGAGTATAACCCTCTTGAAAAGTGTTGAGAACCAGCCAGTTGTAGCTCTCCTGAGTAAATAGGGGGTAATTATAATTATGGCTGTGCTTAGTCTCTGTCACTCTTACCTAAGAATCGAGTGTAGCTTCTCTTAGAACTGATCAGTCTTGCACTGGGCTTGGTTTACTTGTAGGTAATTGCTTCATCGCAAAGAGACATAGGAGACTGTGCCTCATGGTGAAACAGAAATCTTGCGCTGAAAGGCGTTATATATTGAGTACATTTGTTACTATTTTTTGTACAAGCCCAATGACTGCCAAGCTATGGCGAAGTGGAATTAATACAGAGACTGCAAAATGTAGTGTTACAACAGAGTACTTAAGCCCTGTGGCACTGCCTCCCAGCTTATCTAAGCATGGGTGTTAGGAGGAAGAGAATGACTCAGCCCCCTAACAAATCACATCACCTCTCCCCCACCACCCTCATCAGACACCTCCTTGTGTGAAAGTTACACCGCATTACAAAACCCAGCAGCTCCACTTGCAAGTGCTCAGGAATGCAACGATGCATGAAGCAGACTCCCGCTGCAGAGACTTTAATGATGCCGGTTCATTTAGGGAGCTTGCAGCATTAAAAGGAAACAATCAAAGAACACAAATCGATTTTGCTGCCGGTGAAGGTTGATGGTCCTTGAGAATAGAATTTGAATGCATTTATCGCTACTCTTGGCAGTGAGAACGCATCATCGTGGGAGTAAGCATCAATGTGAAGTCGACAGCTACGGTATGTTAAAGGCAAAGTTATACTTGAACCACATAATCAGATTCTCCTTTTCTTATCCAGGAAAGCATCAGCCAAGTGTCAAGGCTATTTTTTGCAAGATAAATCTGCACTGGGATGTTTCAACAGTTCCTTAATCAGGAATACAAAATGAGGAAATAACGGCTTTTTTTTACTATTTTTTACTTTACCAGGTAAGGCCCACTGAGCTATAATGCTCTATTTTTTCAGAAGACACCTTGGCCACAAATGATTGCTCAACGAAGTGGATTATGATGTGGAAGTGGATTATGATGTGGAAATGTAAGGCAGCGAAATACTCTAAATGAACCAGAGTACTCCAGGAAAATCCACAGACAAGAAGGTTAATGTATATTTTACAAAAATTGTACTAATAGGTCAGCAGTCCACTTGTTTAACTGCAAGCAATATATCTAAAGATATTGGCAAGAAAGGTTACTATATATGTGACCGAGCTCCCATGTCCCCAATAGTGGCAAGGTCACAAGCTTAAGTAGACTAAGAGAAATTTAAAATATTTAAGATACTGTCAGCTCCTTGTTGCTTTATATTACATCCAAATTGCACAAGTTTCCCTCGTAAAACAGATACTGGATATTAGCAAGTTTCAGCCTGATTTTAAATCACCTTAGAGGTGCTTTATATGAAAGTTCTCAATAAATGTACAGATTCTTATGGGGGGTAAAAATATGCCTTTTTAAGATAACCTGCTTATAATGAAATTAGTTATGCTTCATTAATGTATAAAACATGTAGATCAGTAAATATTGTTAAAATTTTATCAATGTTACTCCCTCTGCCAGCAGACAAATTACCTGTGAAGAGTAAGGTGACCTGAAATTTCTCTGCACAAATTGTCCAAGTTTGTATTTGTAGTCCATGGAAACGTTTTCATATAGAATAGCAGTTGGATTTTGACAAAGAATTGTAAGCATACATGGAGAAAGGAAGCTAATTGGTTAAAATGCACACCATTGCACCCGAATGAAAATCTATTGGCTACAATTAAATGAAAATTACCATTGAAGCTGATAACCATAACAATGTTAATTTGAACAGTGTAACACAATGACGGTAATTAAATAGTTTGCATTAGTCATTCTTATTCTTTGGGTCTTTCGGTAAAGCCACATCGATAGAAAAAGAATGTAGAAAATAATTTATTTATTTTTCTATCTACTTGGCTTTACCGAAAGACCCAAAGAATCTGAATTCCTGCAGTCACGAAAGCTTTAAGTCAAGCTATAAGTCATTCTCTCTCCACTGCTGAATTAAACCATTAGCATGTGGGTGCCATGGTCTCAGGTATACATTTGACCCAATTATGTCTGTCATTTCCCCTTTGTAGATAGTATGCTTCCTTTGCCTTCTCTTCTGTACTGTCACAAGTTGTCTTCAGCATGTCATCTCTTTTCTAGTCCCAGTTGATGTTTTTGTAACAATTCATACATCTTCTGCTTTTGTTGTTTTGTAGTTCTGCTCCACATGGGCGTTCGCCTATGTCTTCAAGTGATAGTGAGTTCACATTTACCATCACTACTTTGTGCATACGAGATAGTGTTTAACTATATGACTGCCATGTGGTACCATGGAAGAGCGCTTAATTTTCACTCGTCAAAGTCAAGAATTCCAATACTATTGGTCTGCTAGACCAATCACTTTGTGGGAAGACAGAGCTCGTCCCATCAAGAAAAAAACCCACAACAGGAATGTAAAATATCTGCCACTAGCTCAAAACCTCCAATGCAGATGAATACCAACACAGCTAATTTAAGTATGGTACTTCAGTTTTCAAACTGACAATTGTAGAGGGGATGATGGTGCAGCAGCCCAGTGTGAGATTTTTACCTCAGCAGCTGGATCTAAAACCCTGCCCTGTACTCATTTTCTGTTTCACTTTTTTTACTTGGAGTGCTCCTCGTCACGATCAGCAGACATTCCCTGTCGCAGAAACATGATGTAGTATTTTGTGGACTCTTGCTCCCTGGCTGGAAGTTCAAAAACATTATAATAACCTAACAGATGGCAAAATTATTTGACAACATCCCCACGGTGATAATGAGTGGAGGATGCGAGGGGTGGGGGGAGACGGGCGTCCACAGAGACTGCGCTCCCGCTCACATACGCACGCCCTTCTCGGGGGGACGGGCGCCAATTCATTCATCCAGCACTGCTCGCCGGGGGATATGAGCAAACGCAGGCCTGGGGCCAGGGGGACTGCATGCATCATGTAGAGCCCACTCAACCTCCTGAACCCGTGAATTATGCAGCTCCGGCTGGCAACAGCTGCTACCTCTTTTCTGCCGTTATTTCTGCAATCCACTGCTGCGATTTCGAGTGGTTGGGCGACAGCGTTTTCAAGAACAAGTGCAATAACAAAAATGATTCTCTTTAGGAATTGTCTGGGCAGGGTGGGTGTTTCAACACCATCAGATAAAACCGCCCCTCCTCTTATAAAGCCACAGTAAACAATTTTCCAATTACCATAGGTCGACACCTGAATAAAGGCTTCCAGAGCAGAGTTCACTCAAGAGGGAAGTGGCTGATGTGACATCACAAGGGGGGCAGTGCTCTAGGTGTGTGGGTTTTAGCCTCATCATTTGATGGCAAAAGTTCACTGGAAAGGGTTAGAGGTTGTCAAGCCTGGTGACAGCTGAAGAACGGATAGTGAAATAAATAACTTTCCCATTGTAGGCGATTGCACAGCTCTGCTGCTACCACAATGACTTCTCTTCTGTTCTTCTTAATATTATTACGGTAATGTCTTCTGGCACTTTGGCCCACAGGGGGGGCCTTGTGGCAGCTCAACATAAATTTATTTATCCCTGCCAATGTGAATGACATCACTGCATCGACTGAGATCTATGTTCCTGTACGTCATCACTCCATAGCAGCATATCTATGATAATGCTGCGATACTGCAGCAATGACGCTGATAAACATTAATGTGAAGATAAGCACGTTTTAGTGTTCAGATTGTTGAATTGTCCCAGAGCATCTGCTTTGGAGTGGTTTAAACAGCCAACAAACTAAGACACAAAGACACTCCTCTGAAAAGCAGTGAAGATCCCCACATCTCGTGATGAGGATCGTGAACCTCGACCTCAACGTTCCTTTGGAGAGGCCTTTCTGAGTTTGTGTTTCCACATGCAGCAGATGCTTTGTGCAAAAAAATACATGCAGTATGTGTGAACACTAAATGTGGATGCTGAAACAGGTGTGAAAAAGTAGAAGAGATACAGTTTAACACGGAGTCTTTCGTGACCAATATCATCCACAAAACAGGTTTTTTGGGTTAGATCGTGTCTTATGGATAAAATAGATACACACATACTTACTTTATTGCGCATTTAACACAACACATAAACCACTAGGGATTCTTCTTAAACAGAATGATTATAACACAGCACACCAGTGCATACACAAAACACATGCAAACCGACAATCATATACCAACTCAATTAGGTATGGCCTTTAGCGAAGGGTCACTGTATCAACATGAGATCCAATTTAAGAGCAATATTGATTCATTTCAGATTTTAATTATTTTTTTGAACATTAATTAGTTAAGATTATTGACTGATATTAAATAATGAATCATGGTCAAATTAACATTTCATAACGTTGGATGTAAACACAATCCAGCAAAATGTTGCTATAATTCTGGATGTGTTTGCAATTGCTTCATTTTGAAATTACATATTTTAAAATGCTATGTCACTTTTTTTACTATCACAATGACATGACACAAGAAGGCTTGATGGTTCGAAAGTAGAAACGCCTTACGCCCACATTAAAACAGAAACAAAAAAAACCTTTCAAACGACAAGCACCAAGCACGCAGCTTCATGGGATCGCACATCCACGACGCAAAAGCAACTGTGACACCGAGAGCTCCGTGGAGGCGCGGGACACGGTGATGAGTGAGAGATGAACGGGTTCCACGGGCTCAATGCGTGACATGCAGTGTTCTGAGCTCACGACACTGGGGTAGGCGCCAGCAAGGGGGTACACAAGGGGAGGGGGCACGTGCCACGATGAGCAATGGAGTCGGTGAATTGGCGTGACACAGTAATTGGACTTACCCTGAGCGTCTACTTGGACGCAGATTAAAGGAAAGAGCAGAATACAGAAGAGAGCTAAAAAAATGCACACTGCTTTCAAACAGGGTACAATCGATGGCGGACTTAACCTCCTGCCGTAGTTGGAGTGATAGCGAGGGAATACACAGTCTCGTCTTGTTAATGGCATGCTGCTGATATTTCTGAATACAGCAGCAATGCTTAATACAAAACGTTTTTTGTTCATCTTGCAAAGACTACTCTGGGAATAAGGCTGTTAGTGTTTTGTCACCACACGTGGCCATGTACGTGTACACCCGTGAACGTTTTAATCCAACTGTGGCAACACAATTACCGTGTGTGTTCACGTGTACACACGCACACCAACGCGAAAAATAGATATTCTAAATATAGTCTTCTTCTTCATATGGCAGGTAAAAACAACAGTTTTGAAACGTGTTAAAGTTTAATGCTAATTTTTTTCTCAACCAATCCAAGAAGGCAGCAGTGAAACCCACGCTGGGTAGATGTCGCAGTTAGCCCAACTAGGTGGGTTAAACAATGAATGAATTCAACACTGCCTGAGCCACTCTCCTTAGAGCACACGTTGAAGTAGTCTCTGCCCCGAACCTTCCCCTGCACCCCCCTCCCAACTCTACCTTCCACATGTTTTCGCTCCCTTAACAGCTCCGTGTTATTGATGGGGTGAGAATTTAAAACTTGTTTTTATTTCTCTCACTAACTACTGTGTAGCATTTTCTAACATTAGTTATTGTTTTTCTTGCTACGTTTTGTGGGGTTTTTAAAATCAATTTTTCCCCACTGTCTTCATTCAGCCTTGTTTTAATTTTCCTCCCTGTGTTTATGAAGGCCGGACGGTGCACGAGGGGGTGGTATAGCTCATACTACACCTGGCTGCCCTTTGTCTCACTAGTGCTGATGCTTATATGCCGCATCACGTACCCATTTAAGGCTGAATGAACCTAGGGAAGGGCCCAGGACCGATTCAGATATTCGCCATTGATACTGGTCGAAGTGGGAATTAAACTCGGCTCACCGGGTTCATAGTGTGATGCACTAACCACTACACACACAAGGGTACAGTCCTACACACCCACGCCTGTATATATATACTTAAACACACCGTTGCACAACGTGAAGATAAGGATAATGAAGGAGGACAGCAGAACACACTTTGATCTGCTTCCTAAGCAAAGCATTAAGTGGCCCTGAGCAGTCACAGTTTCTTAAATCATCAGACCCCAACTCTTGAGCACAGTGGCTGTTGCCTGGCGACGTGATGTCATGCAGCACGTGCCAATAAAGCAGGCACCCCCTGAGTGCACTAACAGGAACAGCCAGCTGGCGCGGCAAGGCCTTTGTCTGAAGACTTTCTGTATCCAACAGCTACGGACGCCACAAACCCACTGCACTTTGACCTCCTGAAAAGAGACTCGCGATTTCCATTAAAGCACCCACTGGCAATTACTGCGACTGTTGGTGGTGCTAAACGCTTTATTTGATCAAATAAGAATAATAATGTATGCATGGAACTTACGTTTTGGGTAAAGGGCTATTGCTAGATTTCACAGTCAATGTGAAAAATATCAATGTATTAAATACGTGTTATTTAATCATGCAGTGTTTGACCACAGCTTATAAGATAAAGGAAGCTCAGGATTTATTCTGTAAATTAATGTGAAGTTATATATGTCATTTGGATAAGTAATATTTTACAAAAGAAGGAATAGATTAATATGTAGTGCTAAAGGGGAAACGTACTGTGTTTATGGGAAGAGTTTTGTGAAAGTTGTTCTTTTAAAAAGGATACCTATCCGATTTACAGGCACCCTCTGTTAACTTTTTAGGCCATTTGCAGAAAGGGCATTAAAGAAGACAGGTAAACTCTGCCATACAATGACACAGTCACAATGGCCAATGACTAGTGGAGAATAATAATGAGCTGCTATAACCCCCACCGGTCTTATCAGCCAAGTTATGAAATGTACCTATTGTGTTTAAAGCGCTCACGGCTGGGTAGTAGTGAGCACAGAATTCAACGACCTAGCTGATCGCAGCTGTGCTCACTGTGATGGCCGGAAATATTGTGAAGCGGCAGGTAGTGGAGAGATGGAGAGATGAAGAGAGTGCGATTACTGGTGTCATCAGGAGCAATGCGCTAATTCTGTCCCAATTCAAAACACTGTCACTGCTCATAAAGTATTAAAGCTTTCGTGACTGCATAAAATTACTCATTGGTTTTTTCGGTAAAGTCACGTATGTAGAAATACAATAAAATTATATTAAAACAAAAAACAATCACGACGTTTCGATCACAATGCAAGCGATCTTCATCAGGTGTCAAGAACAAATCACGGAGGTAAATACAACAAAAAGATGAGAGACGAGAATTCAACAAACCTAAAAAAACATTATGTGAAGCACATCCATTACAATGAGTAATTTTATGCAGTCACGAAAGCTTTAATAATTTATTATCACACTTCTACGGGGAAGTTACCGTTGTAATTATGTGTAAGATGTGCCCTTTTTTGAGCTGCCGTTTTGTATTTACAAGAGGTGGTCATTTTTTGAGCTGCCGTTTTGTATTTACAAGAGGTGGTCCTTTTTTGAGCTGCCCCCTCTCTCTCTCGCTGCCTCTCTGTCCATCTTTCCTCCCTCCTTACCTCTTGGTGGACTTGAATATGTATTTCTACTGACCGTGTACCTCGTATTTTTCATTCTATCTATGCTGGTATGTGCAATCCAAAGGTTGAACGCGAAATTTAACACTCTTCTGAAATTCGTGGTCCGCCAGGAAGTGTCTGTGTTGTTGGCCTGACTGGATGTGCTTCACATAATGTTTTTTCAGGTTTGTTGAATTCTCGTCTCTTATCTTTTTTTTTATTTACCTCCGTGATTTGTTCTTGACACCTGATGATGATCGCTTGCGTTGTGATCGAAATGTCGTGATTGTTTTTTGTTTTAATATCATTTTATTGTATTCTACATATGTGACTTTACCGAAAAAACCAATGAGTACTGTCACTGCTCGCTTAGGCATGCATACAATTCCACAGGGTTTTTAATATATGCACATTTATTGTAAAATAAGTGTGGGATTCAAGGGATTATTAAACAGACTCACTGGAGGGAGAAACACAACTCTATACCTGAAAGGGGAAAGTGGATGTAATGGCATATCAAGGATTAATTCAACTGGTTAACTGGGGTGGGTGGGGGGGCACTAATGGGGATGCTGAACTGATTGTCGGGGGCACCTGAGGGGGCATTCAAGGGCTATTAAACAGAAAAGGAGTGAGGGTACCTAGAGATTATACGGGGATTTATTCGTGTTATGCACCAAGAGGTAGTTAAACAAGAGGGGCACGACAGCAGTTAAGCAGCTCCTAGGGGTAGGTGTGATGGCACCAATAACAATGCTCGAGATTGCTTAAGAGGGGGCAGGCGAGGGGTGACCCGTCACTGGGGGGAAGAGAGCTGGAAAGGGAGTATAAGGTGCGGGCATGCACTGTAAACCGTGCGTGTACAGGGATCACTGCGTGGGTGGCACTGAAAGATTAAGTTTTATATGCACCAACGTACTGCAGTGGCTCACATGTACTTTGTTATCAGTGGCTTTATATGCCGTAACGTACTGCAGTACAGTATCTTCTACGTTGGCATCACTGTAGGCAATACGGATTGTTAGTCATCAAGTCAGGTGACTATTTTTCTTTTAAATTCGTTCCACGTATTTTTGCTGTGTAAGCAGATTTGCTCAAAAGAGTTGTATAAAGGCCATACATAAGGAGCATGCTCAATGTAATCTATAATGGTAAAAGGATGACACCAGCACACAAGGGGCGTGCTTTGAATATTATGTCAAAAGGGTTCATGTTGGTTTTCAGTAGGTTAGAAAGTCTGCGGTTGGGAGGTGACTAATCAGTGATCTACAACAATAAAATTTGGTTAATAATTACTTTCGTTTAGACTTAATTTCTATCCCATTATAACTCAGTGTTAAACAAGAAAATGCAAATCAAGCTTTGCCCCCTTGTGCAAATGTGCATAATATAGTTGGCTCGTATTAAGACAGATTGGCATGAGGGTTCCCTCCAAGTGTACAAAGTTCTACAACAAATTTAGAAAATAACCTGCTCCTAAAATTGATTAGGAGCACACAAGTTGTAAACGAGCTGTGTAAACAGAGTTTAGCCGTAGGGCATATCACACGAGAGGAAGGCTCAGTGCTTTTGCCGAGCACAGAGAAGAGATGGGGCTTGAAAAAAATGCACCTCCTCCCCCACAAGCTCCTAGCACCCCTCCCCCATCCTGCCACATGTGCTCAGACAGATGGGCCCAGAGCTCCCCATTGATCGCACTGTGTTAACGTCACATGGTCGGCAACATGCACGCATCCACATACACACACAGCCCAGCTGCCGGCCGGCCCCGTAAAATTTGCATTGCCATTATTTGAGCATGGGCCATTTTTTTGGCAGACCATTCAAGCATCTGCATGTCCGACACTTCGGGGACACGCTTTTGCAAGGTTTGAACAAAGGGCCCGGGGAGCCAAGAGCCCGTTAGCATTACAACGCCTCGCGCACCATTTTGGCCTCGCTGCACATACAAATAACAAGGAAGGAGGCAGTGCCAGTTACAAGTGTACTTTCTCTCCCCTTTTGATGAACATGTTTTTTTGTATGATATTAAGTATTACCCTTATCAATGTCCTCCGTTCAATGTTGTAGATGTGTGTGTACCAGCTGATAAAATGCATGAACTTGAGGGGTCGAGTGATATTTTTGAAAATATGCCAGAGCAGCGGCAACATTTCTGCAGCTACTGTATCCTGCATACACCACCGTATTCACAAAAATCCGCCTGTGGTGTGATTCACTGGTTAACAGAAAGGCATTTACCACGAGTTGGCAAATAAGAGGAAAATACATAGAAAACAGCAGTTTGAACATTTCTCCACTAAATATTGGCAGAAACCGCCTGTCTGCCGATATATGAATCAGACCCTCTATCTGTACGCATAATCAAATTACAGAGTACATTATTTCAGTCCACAAGTTATTACCACACTAATCATCTATGAATATAAAACATTAAACACACACACTCGACAGCAGGCCAAAATAAAGCATTAGCGACTTCACAATATAAGCCATTGGCATTACCAAATAACCTAAATCGGTCTGACAAGACACTGCTGACCCAATATTCAATTAGAATTGGGGTATATTGGAACGACCTTAAAATAATCTGCCTTAATTCTCACTGCCGAAAACAAATTCACAAGAAAAGGTGATAGCCAATTTGTAGTGCAAGGAATTAATCTTACAATATTTTCTGTATCCCTTTATAATCCCCCGACTCAACGATCCAGGATTCTTTCATTGGTTGTGATCAAATATTAAAAGTAAAAATGAGCTTGTTGCTTGCTAACGCACGTTACTGTTAACATTAATCAGCTGAGAACATTTCACACCGCAGGCACAACAAATGCCAATGTGCAACGGTAACACTAATAGAGCTTAAATACAAAAAAATATTACTTGCTAATAACTAGCAAAAACATGTTTTTTATTAAATGTTTTCAATAAGTTTGGCTGGGTATGGTGGCATGTCTGTAATCCACCAAACATGGAGCAGGGCGGAAGATTAACGCAGGGATGGTGCATGACCACACGCAGCAGGGAATGAGGGCCTGCATGAGGCAGCTCAGACAGCAGGTGTTTGACAAGCTATCTGCACGCAGTTTATTTCCCCCACACATTGGTCTCCCTGAAGAACCTCTAAGCAGATACTCCACTCTACTGCTTGAAACGTATTGTTTCCAAAGCTTGTGTAACTTCATGGCTGTTAAGATGACAAACTTTGATGAATATTAATCGCAGTGATCTTAATATTTATTTCTATTAATGTCCATGTTTCATTGAATGATTGAGATTATTAACGTTATTTTTTCCGACTTCTTGAGTGCATTCGTGAGCACTTAAATTGTTTGCCTTTCTGTAGTTTTTCATTTTCTTGTTTCAACTGTGACAATTTATGTATCCTATAAAAGATCACCATCATATGTATTACCAAAGTTTATGATGCATTATGGTGGATTTTGAATAAATTAAGACAAGAGGTCTGCTTACCACGTAAAACGAAGTCACATTTCAGTCGCCACCCTAAGGACCTTATGGTCCTTAATTTTTACTCAAAGTCAAAGCAGGTGCGCAGTTGCCAGCTCAAACCAAATATTATGCTGGGAAATATTTATCCAGTTACCATTAGCAGAGGAACCAAAATGTTATTTGATTTTTACATGCTAAAACAAATCCACGTGTGTTTATTTATTATAGTTATGGTAATTACATACTTTGCTCAACCTGCAAGTAATCATGGTTACTCAAGACAATTAACCCTTTCTTTTTCCAGACACTGGCTGTAATGTCAGCTGCACATGCCAATACCCTCGGCCCGGCTCCTCCTGTGGCCCTCCCAAGCAGACGGCCCCACACGTGTACAAGCATGAACAGCAGGACCTAAACATCCCTTATGGGTGTTTAACCATTCCAAAGCATCTTACAGAAAAACAACTGTTTACGTGGGATTCATTTGTGCACTGTGGGAGGCAAAAAGGTGCTGTTAACTGCGTTTGTGAAGAAGCCAGGGCTCGTAATCTTGCTCAATGGAACCTATGGACCATGAACCCCATTGGTCTCTTAGCATTTATTATTACTGCAGCCACCTCCACGGTGGCCAGAGCACTTCTTCAAGCAATGTTTAATGACTCCTTTTGTAGTACGTTATAAACATTAAAATGAGCTCTAAAACTCGCAAACCTCATTGACATGTCCACAACAAAAAAAACCTCAACCTTCATCAGTAACATTGCCTTCTAACAGTGATATATAAAATAGGGTGAACTTAAAGGCAAAAGTCCTTCTTTGGTAAATAAATACTACGGAAAGTTTGACTGACGTATACTTGCATATTGCAATTATACATTATGGTGCCTTGAGGAAATAAGACATTTTCATAAAGTTGGCGAATTAACAGTTTTCCTTCATAATTCACGTGGAGTGCTCTGCTCAGCTTAGCAACCTTCACTTGGGTAAAGTAAACAACATCCAGTTTTAAATCTTATCGGCTCATTTCACAAAAACCTGTTATGAAACAATGCCTAAGTGTGTCTAGAAGGGCAATGCTGGAGTGTGATGGCTAAATGCTAAAGATTTTAAATTCAAGGTAGGGGTAAACTCAGCCGTTCAATTCTCCAGGGTTTATAAAACCATGTTGTGGGCAGTCAATCAAACTAAATCATAATTTAATTTGGTATTCGTGCCATTCTTCTCATGTAAGGCTATCATGCAGGTGCTCTGTTTAAAAAAAAAGTCTGCAGTAGTTTCTCCCAATTTCAACATTTGTGGGTAATTTTTTAAATTTGGAAAGTTTGAACTATGACACCAGCATAAATGGTCTACTCTTTTTATGTAACAAATAGGCATCTTTAATGTTAGCTGTGAAACATAAGGCATTTCTGTATGCATGATACATCCACACTATCATCAATACACCCGCAGTATTAACCATGGCAGCAATGGGGCTCGAACCATGAATCTCTGCAAACAAGCGGAAGACATGTTATGTTACCTTTTCCGCCATGTCACTTATGGAGATGATGTCGCCAACTTTGGGAATGTAGAATTCATATCAATGGCTCAGAGCTGCCATCAGAGATAATTGCTCCCCCATTGCTCATTTGAGGGGAAACTTTGTGTGAATGTGTAAACGTAGCTGACACGTGTCACCTGAATTTCACACTTCTCGCACCGCGCCCTGGGCACTCCTACCTCTCAAAGTTCTCCCCGTTTCACAATTTCCTGGCTCGATGTGACCACACAAAAGCAAAACGAATTAATTAGCAGAGCACCCCCCCCTAATTGTATCCACACTGCAACATATTTTGCAGTTTCAGGGCAAAGAATGCTTTTCTGACACTTTTGAATTGTAACTGTGGCTAAGGACATTTTATTTTAGGAGTACAGATGCTTTAAGCTTTCGAAGAGGAGCCCATTAAGACTGTACTCCTAAGAAAGTCTTTTGCAGATCGTGTACCTGCAAACGCCAAACCGGTTATTTCACAAAACGGCAGTGTCTGCTGTCAATGCCAGTGTTATAACAACACAGGTGCCGGTCGTTTGGCTGAGCAGAAGAAAACGCCAGTCATAATTGCAAGGCGGTGCTTTACAGGAGCCTGGGTATAGGAGGGGTTAATGTTCTGTGTAGTTATTTTCCCTTTGGTCTTTGAAAAGTTTTCATACACAACAGGACAGTCATAAATTAAGAGTCTCAACATTGTACAACGTATATACATTTGTGTGTTGTAGTGGCGTTGCAATCAATTGCTGTTATTTATTGGCTGTGGCAAATTCCATATTTATTTGCAGGGCGAATATTTGTGTCCATTTTATCTCATCCACCTCCTCTTTCCAGTGTCACACAGCTTGTTTATATTACTTGAAAGGCATTTCATCTCCTTCCAACTGAAGTCATGCATCCATATGTTGTTTTCAAGCACCGGTCGTGGCTTAACTAAGTAAACCCGCGAAATGCAACTTAAAAATCCAGTGCCACCCATGTACCATACACGTTTAAAAAGTAACAAACTGTGCTCAGTGTACAGTTATGCCGATTTCAACCTCACATTTGTCCCTGCATGTCCTTTTTTTGGAAGGATGACACCACAAATCTTTTAAGACAGATTGATGAGTGAATTTTGACGAAACTCTCTCAAGCAATTCTCAATTTTTTAGTAGCGCTGCAATGATGGCAGTAATGATAACAGGACTTCAATGATAGTGCAGGAAGTTTAAAAATACACTGCATACTCCAGTATTGGAATGAACAAATTACTGTAGTGGATAATAGTTTTTTTAAGTTCATATGCTCCTCATTAACAACTCTTTAAAGTGACTTTCACCCATGATCAATTCACTGAAGCATGAAGGCTTCCCAAACCTGTTGCCATCCTACGATGCAACAATCCTCCTTTGCCAGCGCAGGGAGCTGATTTGTCACTCCAACTCTTCAGTGGACATTCTCAGGCACATTTTATCCCTTGAGTGCCACTCCATCATTACGCTTCAATGTCAATGTAACCCTAAAAGTATTACCTTTTTAAAAGTTAGTTATTTCCTGCTCAAATGTGAACAAATAAGTTATCTCTTGACTTAAAGCTTTCGTGACTGCAGGAATTCATATTCGTTGGGTCTTTCGGTAAAGTCACATAGATAGGTTGAAAGAAAACAACAAAAAACTACGACGTTTCGATCACAACACAAGCGATCATCATCAGGAGAAATGAAAACAAATAATATAAATAAGTTATACTTTCATTCTTAAAGCATTAGCCAGTGATGTAAATAACATGATCAGCATCAGAAGGATGAAGCACTAATTAAACCGCCAACCAGAATATAAACTCGCCACCATTCAATTTGTATGCTATAACCACGGTGCCAAAATGCTGAAATAGGTATCCATGAAGCTATTATAAAACATAATTAAACCATGGCAATTATCATGGCAATACATAATTTGTATTTATTGATCATTTACAGACAAGACAAAACTCTGCCCACAGGGAATTTAGAAAACATACAACATACCTGTGATAATAGGGTTACACAGTGCAAGCTTCTCAGCCTTGCAACAATACACCCTTCTACAGACAATGACTCACAGCTCTCCAAAACAAGTTATGCACAGAGCACACCTAAACGTGTTGTTATCAGATATTATAACAGGGGGGGGCTCCTATGTATCTAAGCTTGAAAAAGGCTGGTCTGGAGAATGAATAAAGAAAAAAAAACAGGAATTACCATTCTCACCTTTCCTCACTTTCTTTTGCAGCTTAAGAGTGTCTGAAGACTTCTTCTTAATCTCTTGTCGTACACGCTTGTACTCTGATCAGGGATAAAACGTACAAGTCACGGGAGGAACGATTTATTTTTTATCAATTAAAAATGTAAAAACTTAATTTAAAGACAGAATAACACATTAATATTCAATAATGCAAGTGCATTGCAGATAGTTTTTGCAAACAACTCATGCGGACTTTCTAAAGTTGTTCCGATGGTGAGGCTGTAAATGGACTTTTTTAATGAAGCTGAGTAAGGCGGTGATGCCATGCATGGTTCTGCAGTTGGCCCATACAAAGTGGACTTGCATTCTCACCCAACCTTGTGGGCTGTGCAGTTTACAGCCAATCTATGAATCGATGGGCTTCCTCTAAAAATTGTGGGACCACGTAGGCCCAGAAATAGCTCGAACACAATATGGGTCCAGACTACGTTAAATGGTTGAGTCACGAGCAAGTTCACCGCTGGGACATGTGTATTGTTATCACAACTAAATAGGCCTCTAATATTAACAATGGTTTATAAGCAGATTCAGTCGAGTTCCAAGTTCCGTGTATCTTCTTGGATTACGAGTTGCAAGCTGCTCAGACTATCCCATTTCTAAACAAGCTGGCAAGCGAGCTGAGTAAAGAAACCTCCACACTGTTAAGAAATTTAAATGTGAAAATACCTTTCCCATATACTAACACTCACTAATCACATTGGTACACAGCATAACACACTTGTGGTCGCAAGTTGGGGCATGCCAGACATTTTATGTAACAAGTGAAACATTTTTTATTTAAAGCTTTCGTGACTGCAGGGATCCATATTTTTGGTTCTTTTGGTAGTCACGTAGAAGGGAAACAAAATATTCTTGCTGTGGTTTTCACACCTGATGATGATTGCTTGTGTTGCAGTCGAAACGTCGTGATAATTTTATTGTTTTATATTTTTATTATTTTATTGTTTCCCTTCTACGTGACTTTCCCGAAAGAACCAAGAATATCAAGTGAAACATGTTGAATTGAGCACATTTCTGTATTCGTCTCGCTTGCTGAATAAAAAGGCTGGTGTGCCCCAATTTGTTATCACAAGTGTTCACAGAGTGATATATTCTTCATATATAAAAAAAAATCTCTTCAGAAAGTCTTTCATTGTCCATCGTCACAAAAACAATAAAGATCTGGACATTCGTATTTGTAAGCCGAGTGGTATATTTTATTTCAATTCGTTTATCGTTTTGTGGTTTTCGTGTATATGTGAAATGCTATTGAAAGCATTGATGTACATATAAGACATATTTCTTGGTTAACGACTCCCTTAAAAAAATACTAAAATAATAACTGAATGATTCCTATAATAATGTTCTGCATATATAATGTGAATGACTGTGGTTGGGCCTGAAAGAGCTCATTCTCCATGCACCCCGAGCACAGAGAAATCACGCAATTAAGGAATTAAATGAGCACACTGCACGCTCACATGCCACATCAAAGCTAAAGCCCAAATAAAATACTGAAAGCGCTGCACCAAGATGAAATTTGATTCCCTGTGGCACTGGGCTGCGAGATCTGTGAGCTGCCAATGCAGAGGATGTCAGTAAATCTCCAGCTCTTGGGGATGGGGCAGGGCCATTCCACAGATCAGTGGATAGATGTTAACTCCTTCGTCTGGTATGCAGGAGGTTGTGGGTTCCATCCCGATCCTGACACCAATATATTTGGAGATGTTCTCCCCATTGTCGTGTGGATTTTTCTGCGGCCCTCTGATTTTTCTTTCCACATTGAGAAACATGCGTTTAGAGTACTGTATTTGGCTGCTATACATTTTCACGTGATACGCCACTTTGTAGAGCTATAAATTGTGGCCAGGTGGCTTCGTAAAAATAGCTATATAGCTCAGTGGGCCTTACCTGGTAAAATTAAAAAGACATTATTTGGTTCTTTCGGTAAAGTCACGTAGATAGAAAATAATAAAAAAACACAAAAAACACTGATGTAGACTGTAGCCTAGTTATTAATCGTAGTGAGTGTACTGGCAGTCTATAATGTAGACTGTAGCCTGGTTATTAAGTTTGGTGAGTGTACTGGCAGTCTATAATGTAGCCTGTAGCCTGGTTCTTAAGCTGGTGAGCGTATTGGCAGTCTATGATGTAGACTGTAGCATTGGTTATTAAACTGAGTGGGCGTACTGGCAGTCTATAATGTAGACGCATTCTGGTTCTTTTAGTAATAAAAATACAATTTCAAATAAAAATGAAAACAAAAACCACATGTTTTTTATGTGATTTTACCGAGAGAACCAAAGAATATGAATTCCTGCAGTCACGAAAGTTTTAAGTAAAAAAATATAGTTTAGTTTATAGTTTTTACAACCACATGCTCTCCTCTCCGAACAACGCGTCACACAAGGACACCGATTATAACGCAGCTGCATTCTTGAACGGAGGCCGGGACCACTTCCAGCTACCATCTGGGACCCCCCTCTGACAACCACGCCCATTGGCAGCACCATCAAATAAAGTCCACTGGCCTACGAGAGCGTATGTTGAACCATCGGATGAAGAGTAGAAGTAAAAGCACCTGTGTTATTTCTACTGAGTAGGCCAGTGTGTGTTGACGCAAGCCAAAATTATCTGGAAAATATTTTCACAAAATGAAAAATCTATGTCACTTTAATATATGCCAGGCAAGTATCAATCCAGCTTGGTGTGAAACACCCACCTGCAGAGCTATTAGATGGCTAGTATATGACAGTGCATAAAATATGTGGTTGACCTATTTCTACAAATTGAGCGTCACCCATAGCTCCGAGTTGTTTTTTTGTCTGGTTTCTTCCAAAACTCGTAAAGGGATTCGCTCAACCACCAAAGCCTGACCCTGGTAGCACTCAGTTGAGACTCTAAAGGACTCTTACCAGAACAACAAAATAGGCATCTAATTCATAAGCAAACGGTGTCAACGATAGGAAGGGTATTCACCTTTGGCATGGTCCTTATCCAGCTGGTTAGCACTCCTCTTCCAATCCTCAATTTTTTCTTGTAGCGGAGAGACCAGACTTTCCATTAGGGCTCTGAAAATGACAGCACAACAATGTCATGGCTTCCTGTGTAGGCAAATGCTAGACAGCAGCAATAGCCACTACCAACCAATATGCAGCAGTTATGTCACCACAGGGCCAGAGCCAGGCTAGGTACACTTTGAAGCTACCTATATGTATGTAAAACTTATTTCCCACAGTACATAGCTAACCATGCTAAATTAAGTTGCGGGTAATAAAGTATTAAAAGCTCACGAGCAGGCCATCATAGGACGAGCCCATATGTAAAGGATTTAACAAATAGAGTAGCGATACTCTAATACAGTCATCACGAACTTCAAATGCTACTCAGTGTAGTTAAGAGTGAGCCAAGATTTAGCAGTGTTGCTTTAAGCATTATACTTGACAGTACACCAACCAAACCTATAACACAGTTTGGTGGCCAATTTAAAGTACATCAAACAGGATCAAATCAGTGCTTGTGGTGCGCATGTACATATGAAGCACTTCAAACACTCACACCGAATAAACTCGCATGACTGACTACGAGGCATGTGACGATTCACAAATTCAGCTATTCTTAATTATCTTTATGCTCAAGGTACACGCATTGAAGTGTGTTTTAGAATATTGAAATTATAATCATTCCAAATTGTGTATTAATGTAAATTTACTGTAATGTAACTAAAAGACATGCATAACAAGAGACTGACATTGCACAACAAAAAAATATGACAAAAATAATAGATAAATGAATCAAATATTGACCAAGAATCATGACAATCCATTGAATTAAACAGCGGATGAATCATGATATGCTTATTGGCTATGCACTCCTTGCCTGCACCAACAGATATTGAGACACAAGCTAAACAAACTCCACGCTCATCTCGACAAAATTTTCTAAGGGTGTATGTGAGGAATACATTCAACTATTCAAAGCATAACACAGACCCTCCTAGCTTTTATTTTACAATAGCTCATCCCACCATTATGACTCAGCCGAGTGCAAAAGGGTTCTCCTGTTTAAGCATTATATGTGACGACACTTTGAAGTGGGACACGGCACCATATCACCTCAAGTGACACAATGCTTTTTTTTCAATATTGAATGTGTTCCCTCATTTTATTAACAATAATGTGTGCCCTTTATAATGTTAATAATGTTATGGAAGGCATCAGTAGGATGTCTAAGAGCTTCTGGAGCACACGGCTGCACCAATTCTGTGTAGTGTGGCCTTCTTTCCCACCACACACAGACAACCCCAGTGCAAACCCCCCACTTAAACACCCAGCGATCCCTGTGCAGAAGCGATATATGGTTCATGGATGATTATTGCTTATTGGATTAATGACATTATGATTATGTTTTACAAGCACTTGTAGAGAATCCATTGCTCGGCAACAGAAAATAAAACACTTGTCATTTTCACTCTTCTTACAATCCTGTAGTCTGAAAAATAAGCATTGTGAGGATGTTTTTTATATTCTCTAGAATTTAAAGAATATTCTCCCAAAATAATTCAATATCACAAATATAACGTTTAGAGTAATTTTAAATGAACCATGTCAGTATTCTGTATTCGTCACTCCCACCTATCCAATGATGCCATATATTGTTGTCTTCAGCTGTTTCAACTCAATTCAACGTTTATTTGTCATACGGACATCCCGCTTAGCCAGTTAACCAGCTAGTTTTGGTGGCAACGGCTCACAGACACTAATACGAGCCATTATTGGGGTGCAGAAGAGCCCAGCCAGCCAGCCAGGCAAGAAACTGGAGGCATAGATTATTTTAATGGTATGTGAGGCAGCACTCAATAAAATTCGGGTGATTTTAAAGACAGCTTTAAAAAAAGAGTCAATTAACAGATATACATTTTGTTTAATTGCATATATAATTATAATAAAAATTCCATTAAACAATATCTTCCTGATGAAAGCAGCAGTTGCTTTCGCAAGGAAAACACTGAACTGGTTTCAACTTTACTGAATCTCATAAGTAGGGTGTGGTCTACTCATACATATTATTTATTAACCTGATTTTATGGGAAAGGACCACCCGCAAATACCGTGTGACCCTAAATAAAGCTACAGCCAACAGCAAAAAAACACTCTTAAAACAACTCTCTCTCTGAGGCAACACTCAATAACAAGGACAAACATTTGGAAAGGAGGGGTGCAGGGCAGCTGGAGAGCTGCTACACTCCTCTATGCTCCAAGTCTCCGAGAAGGGTCCGCGGGTCCGCGTTTACCGCCACTCGTTGCGCAATATTCTCGGGGGTCTCCGTGACCCAGTTTCATGGCCCAGTTTTATCCTAGTCGGTTGCACCATCGCCAACAGTGGCGATGACCACCACCCCCAACCCCCCTCCAGGTTGCAGGCGAAAGCAGCAGAGTACGGCTTACACTCGGGAACTCGCGCATGGTGCTTTGTGCGTACGTACGTTGACACTTGTCTGAGCTTCGACTCGATGCTACGGTGTCTGATGCAGACCCTGGTGAGGGCCGAGCCAATCTCTCGCGTCGAGCCTGCAGACAGACAGAGAGCAGCACACGTGTTAACGAAAGCACACGTGTCCCTGTTTGTAATGGCAACATCAACATTGGTGGGATAAATGCGGCCCGGCACAGTGCAGACAACACCATCCCACTGTGTACTATGCCGACATTAGGTGCTTTACTATGAGCTCTTATCCCTACGGTCAGTAAAGCTAACAGTGTATGTTTGGTATATTTTTTTACATGATATATGGGAGTGGTGGCGGAGTGGTTAGTCCAATGCACTTGGAACCTGGTGACCTCAGATTCCTGGCCATTTCCACCATTGGTTCAGGGCCACCAATAGTAGCATAATATGCAAATTTAGCACACGCACACACAAACATATACGTTACTTGAAAGGGCTTCACATTTATCAGCCATTAACTATTAGTTTCCGACAACAGGAAAAACTATTTGTTGCAGCCCAATGATCAGTACTGAGAAAGAATAAAATGTCACACAGTATAATTTACATCCATTGCTTCATTAGCAACATGCCATGACAAACAAATGTGCAATTAACCCGCAAAAAAAATTAATGGAGGCTAATGTGTTTAATATTCACCCTTTGCCAGCCAGGAAAAGGAATGTTATCACTATGGCAAAATGAACCTTATGGCAGTACCCCGGGATGCCATAGTACCCCGGATCTCGCACAATGTCCATGATGCAGTAATTTTTAGTCTGTTGATGGTCGGCGATGCAGCAATCGACTCATCTCGGCGAGCTGTACACGACGCACTATGGTGCATACGAGCGTTGATGGTTTCAGCGCAATCGTCCTTGCTGCGTTTCGACATCACGGAGTAGCACTGATTTTGGATTGATTGGTACCCCAGTCGCAGAGTTAAGTACACCCTTGGAAAAAATAGAGTCCCAGAAGGATCAAATGTCTAGCCAGGAGAGTGGAATGTTATGATACCATTATAATTAGATAAATGGCAAACATTGCTTTGAAATTTAAATAAAACATCGAGCTACATCTGACCTCTTACATCTAACACTCAAGTATTTGCTGAACATCTGTGAAAAAATTTCATAGCTCATCGGATTCTTCCAGGATAAATAAAGATTCTGTTTCTGAAGTATCGGTTTTTAAATTTTGACCTCTTCAATGAATGGCCAAGACACAATCAAGTGAGCCACATTTGTGTTGACATTTATTTTTCATTGTGCCTAGGCTTTTAGCTAATTAGTGATTGCCCTGGCCTAATTTTAACCTCTCTTGAGCTAGCACAGTGCATGCTTCTTCTCACACTGATAACCTTACTCAATTATTCATCCTCCACAAACTAACCTTTACACCATGTTTTTTTTTGTATTTAACCTTAATGGTCGGAAACCTAAATTAAGCAGTGCTTGGTGAAGTATTCATCCAGCAGTGGATTGACAAGGCAATCCACTGCTGTTTTATTATTTTAACACGTTACACAGAAAAGTGGTTAGCCACATGGCATCATAGGACAGCTTTAATACTAACCAAAGAATCTACGTAAAGACACACACGATAAGAATATAACCGAGCACTCAATTAAAAATTAGAAGGCTGCAAGTTGAAATCCCGGTTTAGGATCAATTCAGGCCATCATCCCTCAAGTTGTCATTAAAATACATCTTTAAGGGATGTTAATCGTGGTCGTGCTCCAGAAAAAATGTGTTCCTCCACAGGAATGCAGCATTTACACCACTGGATACCGTTTAAAGATGGGCATACCTAACGTGACGTCTCCTAGTACAAGCACAAATATATATAATTACAACTGGTTCAGTTTTGGGTTACAAATGGATAACAATTCCTCTTTTCCACATTACAACTGAGCCACACTGGAGAGATGTTCTGAGCCAACCCGGCGTGGCACAGGAGATGCCAGGTTGTTTTTCCAGTGCTCGGATCGGAAATTAGCCTGTGAAACTGTGTGGACCCGCACTGATGCAGCTCGGATGTGTCAGTGGGAAAAAAGGGTATAAAGAACTCTGTGGCTGGAGGCCAGTCTCAGCCTTTTCTCGATGGGGGAACTATGGGAAGACATTGAGTGTGACCCTATGAATGAACTGTTAAATGCGGATCTTCATTGATCGACCGGTGGGGATGAGCCACATGCCAGGTCGCCAACACAAAAGATCCCACCAGAGAGCAGGCCATTGTGTGTTATGGCAATGACCAAATCTGTCTAAGACACAAGCCACCATTATTTAATATCCACAAATATTTTTTAAAAATCTTCACCTTCACCATTAATACTACCTTATAAAAGAAAATTACATATTCATAGCTATCTGGTGATTGGCTTTTTATCATGGTAGTATTACAATATTCTATATATATTTTTTTCTGCTAAAGGCAGTGTTAATGACAAACATGGTGAGTTTTTTTATTCGTGCTTGTGCATCACTGCCTCAACTACGAAAGAATTAGAACCGTTAATGGTTTACTTGATTCCAAATTTGAGCGACCATTTTGTGTGCTTATATGTGGGCAGTTCCAAAAATTGGGCAGCCGAATAGTAACAAACAATTGATGTTTGCCTCATCATACGTGTGGGGCATCATTTTGAAAGTAATTATCTCGTTTAGAGAATATGGATTATTTATGAAAGACAATAATTTGCCAGATACACATATATTCATCATCACCATCGCAGCATAGATGAAAACTTCAGTTCTGACACCTTAGTATTTTATAGAATTTCTCCCTTACCAAAATAAGTGGACATACTATTTAAATTTGACTTGCACGGGTAATTGGTTGATATACTATGCTGAAGTAAAAATCCACTTCATGATTATGCCCAGGATTACCCACATCTTTAAAATGTCTAAAATGTACGCACAAATAGTGGAAAAGCCCATACAAGGAGCTATCACCATCTGGTGATCATTCATTCAGCAAGCATGCAGTTTACCCAGTTCATTTAGCGAGCACCATGTGGCAAGATTCAAACCCGTAACCTACTCATGCCAAGAAAATGAATCCGCTCATATGAAAGAATCTAAAGTAAAATGAGTGCATGAACATTCATTATAAAAATAAGAGTCCACAAAATGAAGTTGTTTAATTGAAAAATGTTCAAAATTGAAACGAGAAGTGGTTACACATTTTTGGTTGGGAAAGACTGGGTGTGGCAGCAACTGACCGTTATCCTCCCTTCCTCCTGATCACGCCTCAAAACGTACAAATGAGGAACTTGACTTGAGTCACTTCCCTAGCGATTGCAAATGTTTTCTAATACACGCCCCTCTTCCAAGAATAAGCATGTGGCTTTTCAATTACTGCACGGTTTGTACTTTTCAAAAAGTACATGGTTCTGGTCTGCTCTAATTGTGCCCACCAGTCCTACAAACGCTTCACCGAGTCTGCCACGTCGCAGGTGATTTTAAATTCTTCCATGACAAACGGCTATTGCGGCTCTGAAAGCTTAAGTTCACGTTACAGGCGTAACCCAATGAGCATGGTGATGTGGCCTCTATGGCTTGTGCAAACACCGTATGTCGATGTCCTAGCTGGAAATTAAATGCAGAGTATTATTTTACGAAGCCGATTGTTGTTTCTTTCGTAGCAACACAGCAACCCTGTAGACTCAAAATATATTGTCAGTTTAAATGTACACATAGTGGTGAGATGTTAACTAGCTCTCCTGGAATACAGGAGGCTGTCGGTTTGATCCCAACCCTGATGCCTGTATAATTGGAGCTCTTACTGTGGTCGCGTTTCCCCCTCCACATTTAGAAACATGCATTTAAAGTATGTGGCTACTATACATTTCCACATGATAAGCCACTTCGCTGAGCTGTCATTTCTGACCAGGTCGCTTCTAAAAAAGAGCTATATGGTTCAGTGAGCCTTACCTAGTAAAATAAAAAATATCTTTTTTGTTTTACATGTGAAAAGAGCACGTATAATGCAAGTGGATCATAATGGGGTCAGTTAATACGAATTTAAATACTAGCATGACGAAATACGGGAGCTGATTAATTAAATGAGCTAAAAATGTAAGTTTCTTTTGAATAATGTAAAATTCCTCAAGGATTTTATAATTGCATAACAATCTCAATGTTGATGCAGTATTCTAATAGTGACTACACTAATTTATTGCCCCATAAATCAATATATCCTGAGGTGGGAACTTTTTGTGATTATAAGACATTTTCAGCTTAACGAGTAGACTTATTATGGATAAGACATTTTACAGAAAAACAAATATTGAGCAGTACCAAAAAATATATTTAAAATTGCACTCAACCAGCTTTCCTGATTTGAGTTCTATCGTAATTTTCCTTACACAGGGCCAGCTCCAATGAGCTGCATGAATTTATATTAACCTATGTGGCCAATACAGCAAGAATGATCAATGTTATGACTAGTACACGGTACAGTTCAGGCACAAACACACAGGTCAAACAGGTGCACTGCTGTGAGGCAGGCAGGCGGGCAGGGATGCAAAGGTTCTGGGGTGTTTACTTTTGTGTGTTCCACTGGGGCACAAGGGTGACGCACACTTAAATGCACCTATGGAGAAGGAACTGTAATGTGTAAACAAGCACACGAATTTTATTTTAACGCCTGGGTAATCTTTGTAGAGACATGTACTTTGACACCAAAGCATGTCATGCGAGTATGGAGGCCCTGGCCGCAGAAACTGCAGTTTAGCAGGCAAGATCTAAGTCTTGACAAAATGGCTGAAACATCACCGGAGCAATTTACCCTACTGCTGATAATGAAGGCTTCGCCATATTTTACTGCAAAACACAGTTGTAAGAGACTATTTGGAGTCAAGAATTTATGAAACGTGGTCACAGACAAAAAAAAGCAACTGGCATTCATCTCCTATGCAGCAATTATCAACAGTAGACTTTCTAACTGATGAGTCACATAGCAATGCATGCAAGGAATGCCACCACAAAAAGGGCTTAGAAGCAATTGTGCAAGATGGTCAGGTGCGTTCTTGCAAGTGTTAACATGACTGTGCGCTGTGTAGTTCTGCACGTGT